GACCCTCCAGCCAGTTCTTTTACTGTACCATGAGATATATTTGGATTAAAAAAAATTGGTGGCCAGGCGTGGTGGCTCACGCTTGTAATCCAAGCACTTTAGAGGCCAAGGTGGGTGGATCACCTGAGGTTGGGAGTTCAAGACCAGCCTGACCAACATGGTGAAACCCCATCTTTAAAAAAAAAAAAATTGGTGAACCTGTACAGCACAGGAGAAAAGACAGGACAGAGCAGGCTGTCTCTAGCCCTCTCTGAACCCCAATTTTCCATCTTTACTGGAGGTAATAACACTGGCCTAGGAGGAGAGCCGATGAGAGATAACTGACTCAAGGCACAAGAAACAAATGACAAGGCCTGCTGTCCAGAGGCTGGTGCAGCTTCTTTCCCCAGACCGCTGATCCCAGATAAGGCTGTCCCCTTGAAACCCCAGGGGCCAGAGTTCAAAGTTCAGTCAAGTTGTTGACTGCACCTTGTATGTCAGGACACAATTATTATGGTTGCTATTATCATTATTAGCGATGTCAAAGACGGAAGGGGCCTTGCAGGCCAAGTTGTTATTTAGTGAGGGGTGTCGCTGGGAGGAAGCTTGTCCAGGAAATGAATTAAGGAGACTCATCCAAAGACCCTCTCATTTTGCAGGTGGGCAGACAGAGACCCGGTGAGGCGCAATAATTTACCCCCAAATCAAACAAGGGGTCACAGTGGCACAGCTAAGACTAGAGCAGAGGGCTCTGGATCCAGACTCACGGCTTTTTCGATTTCTGGAAGCGCGGCTTGGAGGCTCTGGGCTGCGGGACCGAACTGCTCGGCCTTCCTCCTCACCTCCAGAGCCCGGGCCTCACGCAGAACCTCTACAGCCGCCGTCGGCAGAGTGAGCTGGGGCGGGGGTTTTTAGGGACCTTGGCCGCGGCCGACCCCTTCTTAGCTGTAGCACGCCCACGGATCGGCGCCGGTTCCCGGGGCCCAGAACCCACCTGAGTCGCCGGGAAGCCAGTAAAGAGCGCAGCCTCAGGGCCAGCGGGCTCGGGCGGAGGTACGTAGGCGGCGGGGCGGGGCTCGCGCTGGCCGCCCCACTCCCATCCTGCCCCGCCCCTGTCCCCGCCCTTGTCCCCTCACCTTCGCCCTCTCCCACTCCGTCCCTCGTCGCCCTCGTCATCCCCTCTCCCTCCTTCGTTGCACTGTGCACCTCTGTCGCCCGCCTTCACAGCGCGCTTTCGTTACCCCGCACCCTTTCGGTTCCCCGGTCCGCACCTTCTGCTCCCCAGCCCCCGTTACCAGCACCCTCTCCGCCCTGTCTGCGCACCCCCTGCCCGCCACACCGCCCCTCCCCCACACCGCCCTTCTCTCCGCTCCCCATTTCCCACCCCGGCTCTTTGCCTCCTTCGAATCGGGACACCCCGAGAGGTACCCCAGTTGGTACTGGAGGGAATTGCTTTTAGTTGGACACTTGTTTAATCCAAGGCAGTTTGAGGGGGGTAGAGTCCTCTGCAGTAACCTGCTTTTTTCTTTTCTTCTTTTTTTTTGAGACAGAGTTTCGCTCTGCAGCCCAGGCTGGAGTGCAGTGGCGCGATTTCAGCTCGCTGCAACTCCTGCCTCCCTGGTTCAAGCGATTCTTATGCCTCAGCCTCCCGAGTAGCTGGGACTACAGGCGCTACCACAACCAGCTAATTTTTGTATTTTTGTAGAGACGGGTCTTCACCATGTTGGACAGGCTGGCTTGGAACTCCTGATCTCAAGCGATCTGCCCACTTTGGCCTCCAAAGTGCTGGGATTACAGGCCTGAGCCACAGGACCTGCCTATTCTTTTTGTTTTAAAAAACTCTGTGGCAACAGCCTGGAATCCTAACCACTAGATCACCAGGGAGCTTTCTGATTCTTTTGAAGAAGAAAAATAAGGCTTTCTGTTTTTGTTTTAGAAAAGTAATGCATGTTGGTCAGGTGCTCACACCTGTAATCATCCCGGCACTTTGGGAGGCCGAAGTGGGCAGATCACTTGGGATCAGGAGGTGAGTGAATCACCTAAGGTAAGGAGTTTGAGACCAGCTTTTCAACATAGTAAAACCCCATCTGTACTAAAAATACAAAATCAGCCAGATGTGGTGGTGCATGCCTGTAATCCCAGCTACCTGGGAGGCTAAGGCAGGAGAATCCCTTGAACTGGGGAGGTAGAGGTTGCAGTGAGCCGAGTTCAGGCCACTGTACTCCAGCCTGGGCAACAGGAGCAAAACTCCAGCTTATTAAAAAAAAAAGTAATGCAGGTGAATCTCAAAATACTTTAAAAATACAAACATATTCAGAGCTGGGCATAGTGGCTCATGCCTGAAATCCTAGCACTTTGGAAGGCTAAGGTGGAGGATCATTTGAGCTCAGGGGTTTGAGACCAGCCTGTCTCGTTAAAAAATAATAGGCTGGTTGCGGTGGCTCATGCCTGTAATTCCAGCACTTTGGGAGGCTGAGATGGGTGGATCACCTGAGGTCAGGAGTCCTAGACCAGCCTGACTAACATGGCAAAACCACATCTCTACTAAAAATACAAAAGTTAGCTGGGCATGGTGGCAGGTGCCTGTAATCCCAGCTACTCAGGAGGCAGAGGCATAAGAATCGCTTGAACCTGTGAGAAGGAGGTTGCAGTGAGCCGACATCATACTACTGCACTCCAGCCTGGGTGACCAAGCAAGACTCTGCCTCAAATAATAATGATAATAAAAATGCAAAATACAAACGTGTACAAAATAAAAAGCCACCCCCCGCAACCTTATTCATTCACTAGCTAGCATCTGTGGGCTCTGCGTCCCCCGTCCTTTGAGGATTCAATGGGAAACACAGTGGTTCCTGCCTGCATGGGACATGGGAGGGGTAGACGACCATCTTGTAGATGAACAAGGTGATATCAGAAGAAATGGAAGGAGTAAAACAGAATCCTTTTATCAACAGTGACAGGGAATCTGTTTGGATGAGGTGGTCAGGGGAGGAACAAAGGTCTGAATGGTGAGGAGGCTGTCAGGTTAAGATCAAGGAACAGCTCGGTGGCTCAAGCCTGTAATTCCAGCACTTTGGGAGGCCGAGGCGGGTGGATCACGAGGTCAAGAGATCGAGACCATCCTGGTCAACATGGTGAAACCCCGTCTCTACTAAAAATGCAAAAAAAAAAAAAAAATTAGCTGGGCACAGTGGCGTGTGCCTGTAATCCCAGCTACTCAGGAGGCTGAGGCAGGAGAATTGCCTGAACCCAGGAGGCGGAGGTTGCGGTCAGCTGAGGTCGCGCCATTGCACTCCAGCCTGGGTAACAAGAGCAAAACTCCGTCTCAAAAAAAAAAAAAAAAAAAGATCAAGGAACAAGTTCTCCAGGTGAAGAGCTGGCAAGGAGGAGGTGGAGCCCCAGCTTGCTTACTGAGCAAGGACAGTAGCCTTGGGGCAGGGAGAGAAGAGTTTCCCCACCCCATCTCACTCCCCAGGGATTGCTGAGGTGACAGTTTTGGTTATGCTATGAGATAGTTTTCTAGGAGCACACAAACATGTATCCCATTTTCTTCCTTTCTTTTTCCTTCCTTTTTTCCCCTCCCTTCCTCCCTCCTTCCCTCCCTTCCTTCCTTTTCTCCCTCCCTTCTTCCCTCCTTCCCTCTCTGTCTCTTTCTTTCATTCTTTCATTTTTGAGACAGAGTTTCGCTCTTGTTGCCCAGGCTGGAGTACAATGGCGCAATCTCAGCTCCTTGCAACCTCTGCCTCCAGGGTTAAAGTGATTCACCTGCCTCAGCCTCGAGAGTAGCTGGGATTACAGGCGTCCACCACCATGCCCAGCTAGTTTTGTATTTTTAGTAGCGATGGGTTTTCACCATGTTGGCCAGGCTAGTTTCAAACTCCTGACCTCAGGTGATCCACCTGTCTCAGCCTCCCAAAGTGCTGGGATTACAGGCGTGAGCCACTGCGCCTGGCCCCCTTTCAACTCTTAAAAAACAAAATTTTCTCCTGTGTTCAAGTTGGTCTGTTCTGGGTTCAGGCCTGGGAAGAAACACAAAGTACAGAGTCACGGACTTTGGCCCTGCAAGGAAGAGCCCAACTCACTTGGGGACTCACTTGAAAAACTGGTTTTGTGTTGTAAGCATGAAGCAGAAGTTGGAGTGGGAAGGGTGATTGGGACACCAGAGGTCCAAATGCATTTCACAGAATCCAAGAATGTCTGATTGTGTCCCCTTTTCAGGGTCACCTAAAACCTAACCCCTTAAGTTCTGGTCCCAGCTCTACCACCTGTCTGTGAGCTCTCCATTCAATTATTTTTCTCTCTGGCCTCAGTCTCCCAATATGCAAAATGTGAATTTTCACAAAGTGAACATATCTATGCAACTAGCACCCAGGCCAAGAAAAAGAACAATTTCCAGAACCCTACACAGCCTGTCCACTGCAGTTACTTACCACCCAAAAGGGTAACTATCTTGACTTCTAATTGAATAGTTTTGTTTTTGAACTGTATGTAAACAGAATAGAGCCTGCACTCTTTTATGCCTTGTGTCTTTTGCTCAAAATTGTATTTGATACCTCTATGTTGCTATGTGTAGTTGTAGTTAATCCATTCTCACACCTGTAATATTCCATTATACTGTTGAAGAACATTTGGGTTATCTCCAATTTTGTTCATTATACTTTTAAAATTTTTCGAGACAGAGTCTCACTCTGTTGCCCAGGTTGGAATGCAGTGGCACCATCTCAGCTCACTGCAACCTCTGCCTCAGTCTCCCAAGTAGTTGGGATTACAGGCGTGTGCCACCACATCTGGCTAATATTTTTTTGTGTTTTTAGTAGAGATGGAGTTTCACCACGTTGGCCAGGCTGGTCTCGAACTCCTGACGTTGTGATCCGCCCGCCTCAGCCTCCCAATGTTCTGGGATTACAGGCATGAACCACCATGCCCAGCCAGTATCAGGCACTTTTATGGATGTATTGTGGTATCACATGTGGTTTTTAACTTGAATTTCTCTACTAATGAAGATAACATCTCTTCATATATGTATTAGTCAAGTTTTCATTTTTTATTTACACAGCCACACGCGAATATATCCTTGTTACATATAATACATGAATAGAAATAATACATGTAAAGGTAAAGTCCCTCTAAAATAAATCCCTTCACTAGTTTTATTTTCAATTGAAAAAAATTTTGTTTTGCAGAAATGGGGTCTTGCTATATTGTCCAGGCTGGTCTTGAACTCCTGGCCTCAAGCAATCCTGCCACCTTGGCTTCCTACAGTGCTGGGATTACAGGTGTGAGCCACTGTCTCCATCCCCTTCCCAAGTTTTGAGCACTGGGCTTAGAGTTAAGAGACCTGAATTCCAGCCTTTGTCTGCCACTGACTAACTTGCTGTCTAATTTCAGGCAACTCTCCTCTCTGGGTCTGCCTCCCCATCTATAAAATCAGGATGTTTAACTAGATATCATTATTTTGGCTTTTGCTGTATCCACTGAACCAGAATCCTGATTAATACAGACTGACTAGAGAATGACTTTTTTTGTTTTTTGACAGAGCCTGACTCTTGCCCAGTGCAGTGGTGTGATCTCGGCTCACTGCAACCTCCGCCTCCTGGGTTCAACTGATTCTCCTGCCTCAGCCTCCCAAGTAGCTGGGACTACAGGTGTTTGCCATATGTCCAGCTAATTTTTTATAATTTTAGTAGAGATGGGTTTTTGCCATGTTGGCCAGGCTGGTCTTAAATTCCTGACCTCAAGTGATCCACCCACCTTGGCCTCCCAAAGTGCTGGGATTACAGGTGTGAGCCACTGCGCCTGGCTCCAGAATGACTTTAGATTGGATATTGGGTCAGTTTCCTCAGAGGAAGGGACACTTTGAGCTGAGATCTTAACAAGAGAGACATCCATATAGATTTAGGGGAAAAGCATTCCAGGCCAAGGAGACCACTCATGCAAAAGCTCAGTCCTCGACAGCATTCTGTGTAATGAGGCCTACCTGGTCAGTAATGGCGTCCCCATCTCCCATCCCACTGTTTACAGTGACTGGGCCAAGAGTGGACCATGTGATCTGAAGAGGAGATTTGGTATGTGAGTGATGGGACAGAAATGATCTTCCTCTGGGATTACAAATCTTAAAGACTATTTAAGCCTAAAGTTATTGAGGATCATGTTGCTGGCAAGTGGCAAAAACCCACCTGAGTGTAAAGCTAACCTGGGGCAAACACAGACGAGAGCTAGAAAGAGAGAGTCCTCCATGAGAGCCTTTGACCCTCGGTCCAACCACACCTGTACTTATCACAATCCAATTATGAAAACCAATCATGGTCAGGTATGGTGGCTCTTGCCTGTAATCTCAGCATTTTTAGAGGCTAAGGTGGTAGATCACGAGGTCAGGAGTTCAAGACCAGCCTGGCCACGATGGCGAAACAGTCTCTACTAAAAATACAAAAATTAGCTGGGTGTGGTAATGGGCACCTGTAATCCCAGGTACTTGGGAGGCTGAGGCAGAGAAATGCTTGAACCTGGGAGGCAGAGGTTGCAGTGAGCCAATATCATGCCATTGCACTCAGCCTAGGCGACAGAGCAAGACTCTGACTCAAAACAAAAACAGAAAAGAAAACCAGTCATGTCCTTCTTCACAATCGAACTGGATCATCACTTGCAACCAAGAAGTTCCCTGGTCTCCTCGGTATCCCCCTATTACTGGAGGTAATTGCAGATGGTTCCCGAACTATGATCATTCAACTCACGATTTTTGACTTTACATTTATAACTTTATTACCATATAGATTTTTGTGTTGGTAGTTTTGCCCAGTGTAGGCTAATGTAAGTGTTCTGAGCATGTTTAAGGAATGCTAGACTAAGCTATGAAGTTTGGTAGGTTAGGTATATTAAATGCATTTTTGACTTATGATCATATTTTCAGTTTATGGTGGGTTTATCAGGATGTAAACCACTTATCACATAATTGGAGGGGTAGCCGTATAACATTGTTAGACCTATACATTTGCTGCTGATTATTGGGAGGTGGTATGGCACAGTGGTTTGGGGCAGAGGCCTCAGAGTTGGACTGTGGATTCAAATCCCAGCTTGGCTGTATCCCGTGTGGTTCTAACCCAGTTCTGCCACAAACTTGTTAAGTGACCTTAAGTGAGTCACATAAGCTCTCTAGATGTAGCTTCCTCATTGCAAAATGTCTCAAGTTTAGTATTCTCCTTCCACCCTGACTCTGCTTCTGTTCCTCCATCCAGCTTTCCCCGTGGCACATCAGCCACCCAGAAGTTCAAGCCAGACTCATTCCTGAGATCTAATCTACCGTCTAAACACATCCACAATCCATTCCCCTTTCTCCATCCCCACTGTCACCCCTCCAGTTCATGCTGTCAAGACTTTCATCTGCAGTTTGCCATAGAGCTGTTAAAATACTTCTACAAACTGCAAACTTGATTGAGTCATTCTGAAAAGGTGAATGTGGCCCTTGACCCCTGCAGTTTGGTCCTGGTCTATCTCTCTCCACTCAGTTTGGGCCATGCTCTCAGTGCTCCAGACAGGCTACCCTTGCGTTCCTCCAGCTAGGAGCTCCAGGGACTTTGCACAACTCTTCCTTCTCCCTGGAATGCTCTTCCCCAATTACGTCTTAGCTTGATGGCTCACCCTTCAAGTCTAGGCTCCAATGTCAGCCCTTCAGGGAAGTATTTTCTGATCCTTCAAAGCAGGTCAGAGCCTGGTGACCTCCTTCACAGCACCTGTCACCACATCACTGGTGCGTATCTGCCTCCTTCCCAACAACTTTCTTTTTTGAGATGGAGTCTTGATCTGTTGCTTAGGCTGGAGTGCAACGGCGTGATCTCAGCTCAATGCAATCTCCACCTCTCAGGTTCAAGCAATTCTCCTGTCTCAGCCTCCTGAGTAGCTGGGACTACAGGCACCCGCCACCACACCCAGCTAACTTCTGTATTTTCAGTAGAGATGGGGTTTCACCATATTGGCCATGCTGGTCTCAAACTCCTGACCTTGTGATCTGCCCGCCTCCGCCTCCCAAAGTGCTGGGATTACAGGCATGAGCCACCATGCCTGGCCCCAACCACTGTTTCAAGAGAGGCCCCTTCTCTGTTGTTCTCTGTCTCAGACCCCTTCTTTTCCTTCAAAACACTTATCACAACGTGTAACCGCTTTATTTCTTTGTTTTCATCTTAGCTGTCTCCCCTATTCTCGCTGTATAATTTCCGTGAAGAGACAAGCTGAGGTCTGTCCTGCTGTATTCCCAGGACCCAGCCCTGAACCTAGGAGCAGGGCAGAGGTTCTCAAAAAGTATCTCTTGAATAAAAAGTGTTTCTGGTGGTAGCATCTCCAGCAGTCAGGAACTCCCTCTTTGCCTCTAAGTTTTGATCCTCAGGCAGTATTTCTGCTGCTAAGGAGTAATTCTTCTCTGGGTTTATGGTTCAGAGTAGAACAGGAGACCTCAGGCAGCCTGGCAACCTCTGGCCTGTGTGGGAAATGCCTTCCAGTGGAATCGCAGCACATTTCAATGCTAACCCAGGGATATCGATCTAGGCCTCAGTTCCACACCCAGCTCTGCTGCCAGAAGCTTTCTAAGGCTTCTCAGGCCCCAAGATGCCACGGTTCTCCTCTTCCCGTAATGCTCCAAGACCCTCTCCCAGCCAGGCCCCACCAAACCTGTGCCCCAGCTCCAGGTTGCTTTCAAGCTGAAGCCACACCAGAGAAAAGAGCTGAGAGTGAGCTGAGGTCAGCTCAGGGCTGATCCAGGGGAGGGGCAGGGAAGCTTGGGAAAGCCCATAGGATGCAGTTGCGAGTTGTAAGAGTTAGCATGCCGGCAAAACCACCCAGGGCTGCTGGGCCCACCAGCATGTAAGCAGGAAGAGGGCACGAGGGCACAGTTCTAAAAGCAGCATTTACTTTGGCTTTCACTTCTCTGTGGCCCCGGGGAGCTTTTTAAAGTTCTAGTTCTCGGGTCTGGCACTCTCCCCATCATTCCTCCTTCAGCCACTGCAGCAGCTGGGGTGTGTAGTAGGTGATGATGATGTCAGCACCTGTGTTGGGAGAGATGCAGAAAGTTGGGGGTGGTGGGGGTGCTGATCAGCTCTGAGCACACCTTCTGCGATGGGAGGGCCAGGGGGGAAGAAGGCTACCATGAAGAGGCACAGCCTGTGGGCACACCACATTAAGATGGAGCCTGGTAGCTGGGCACGGTGGCTCATGCCTGTAAACCCAGCACTTTGGGAGGCCGAGGTGGGTGGATCACAAGGTCAGGAGTTTGAGATTAGCCTGGCCAATATGGTGAAACCCCATCTCTACTAAAATACAAAAAATTAGCCGGGTATGGTGGTGGGTGCCTGTAATCCCAGCTACTCAGGAGGCTAAGGCAGGAGAATCACTTAAACTCAGGAGGCCTAGGTGGCGGTGAGCTGAGATCGTACCACTGCATTCCAGCCTGGGTGACAGAGCAAGACTCTGTCTCAAAAAAAAAAAAAGAAAAAAGAAAGATGGAGCCTGGCTTTGGGCAGCTCTATTTCTTGGGCAAGTCATTTTTAATTTTGGAACCTCAGTTTGCCAAAGTATAAAATGCACCGTGAAGGAAATAGGTAAGAGGCAAGTTCTCTTCCCGTGCTGGTGTGCAATCTAACAAAACAAGCCCCTTTATGGAGTGGTATTACCTCACTGAATCCTCAGGACAACCATGCACCAGGTATCTTATCCCTGGTTATCCAGTTATGGATGAGGACACTGAGGTTTGGAGAAGTGGCTTGCCCACGTTCTCACAAACAAAAATTAACAGAGGACTCTGCTTTCTTCACTGTGCTGTGTCCTACGCTGCAGTTCCATATCTCTTCCTATTTGTGTCTGTTTAGATCACTAGCAATTCCCAGCATAAGACTCCAAGCTCTCAGGACTTTGTTCCCCGATCTAGGCAGAGTGCTTACAGTCCCTCAGGCGCAGGTCAAAACACCCCACCCCTGCCTGCTTACCTGCTCTGCGCAAGGCAGTCACAGCCTCCAGTACAGCAGCCTTGAGATCAAATGCCCCAGCCTGGGCTCCGTGCCACAGCATGGCAAACTCTCCAGAAACGTGGTACACGGCGAGAGGGAGGTGGGGGTGCTGCAGAGAAGCAGACAGGCTGAAGTGGAGAATGGATGTGGCTCTGGGAGTTTTCCTCCCCCACCTGCTCAGTCTGTGACCATCTGAGCCCTGTGCCCTGGGTTACTGTGGCTAGCAGCCTGGCCCACTCTTGAAACAGTTAGAGCAGGGCTATCTGAGGCACCTGCAGGCCCTGGCACACAAGGCCATGGTGGTTCCTGGGCAGGGATGGGGGAGTCCTGCTCAAGGGCAGACTGCTTCCAACTCCGAGATTCCAGAGTCTGTGGAAAACTCTGTCCCATCCCCCTGATCCCCCTTTACCTTGGGCCTGTGCTCACCTTGTCCTTTACCTCCCGCACGATGTCCAGGTAGGGCATTCCTGGCTTCACCATGAGCATGTCAGCTCCTTCCCGTACATCCCGGTCCTAAGGGATGAGGGTATCATATGGGTGGTGCCTGGGAGGGGGCTGAGGGTGGTACTCAAGCCCTAGTCACTCACCACAGCTCGGAGGGCCAGGCCTCGTGCTCCAGGGGGCAGCTGGTAGCAGCGGCGGTCCCCAAAAGCTGGGCTTGACTGAGCCGCATCCCTGCAAAGCAGAGTCATCAGGGTGGGCTCCAGCTTTGGGCCATCGGGCCAGGGATTTAACAGCAGGCCTCTGCCCACCCCTGCTTACCGGAAAGGGCCATAGAAACAGGAAGCAAACTTGGCACTGTAGCTCATCACTGACACCTATGGGGAGATAATGGGGGTCTTGGCTCAGTCGGTCCTTGCCAGCTGTCCCAGGGTGATGTGGCAGGGAGAGAAAGGCCCTAGGCTGGGAAGGAGAGTGTCTGTTCTGGTCCTGTTGGAGCACTGGGATTGATTTCCTCATCAGAGACCCAGAGGTTGACATGATTCCTCAAAGCCTCATTCAGCACTGTCTTCAGCTCTGTATTCTTTTTTTCTTTTAGATAGTCTTGCTCTGACACCCAGGATGAACTGCAGTGGCATGATCTCAGCTCACTGCAATCTGCAGCTCCTGGGTTCAAGCGATTCTCCTGCCTCAGCCTCCCGAGTAGCTGGGATTACAGGCACCTGCTACCACACCCAGCTAATTTTTGTGTTTTTAGTAGAGATGGCATTTCACCATGTTGGCCAGGCTGGTCTTGAACTCCTGACCTCAAGTGATCCACCTGCTCTGGCCTCCCAACGTGCTGGGATTACCGGTGTGAGCCACCACGCCCAGCAGGTCTGTGATTCTTAGCATACATGGGGGCTGGGCTGGTGCAGATTCTCTCCTCCTGGCCCCATGCTGCTCCCTGCACTCCCCGTCCTTACCCTGTTGCCGAATCCGTGTGCCAGTAGGGCCTCCTTGATGGCTTCTACTCGTCCATCCATCATGTCCGATGGGGCTACCACCTGACATCCTGTGGGCAGAGGGGGGCCTTCAGAACTCTGGGACCTTCCCAGCCACTCTGCCACCTCCCTGACCCAGAGGTGCCCATCGCTGCTGGTGGTTCACTCACCTGCCTTGGCATAAGCCAGTGCCACCTCAGCCAGCCGCTGGCGGCTTTCCTCGGCCCGGAATGCTCCATTTTCACTCAGGAGCCCTGCAGGACAGATGGCTGGGTTTTGGGGAGCACCTTGGACCTGGCCTGTCCCCACCCTGGTGAGAAGTGGACAGTAGGAATGTGGGTGGCAGCAGGGCTGGTTGGGAGGAAGTGGGCTCACCACAGTGACCATGGGAGGTGTAGGGACACAGGCAGACATCACAGGCCACCAGGAGGTTGGGGAAGGTCTTCCTCAAAAGACGGATTGCCTCAATAGCTGGGGACTCCTCGGAGTCAGCTGCAGAACCCCGCTCGTCCTAGGGGCAGGGGAGGGACAAAGCAGTGTGTCTGTTACATGTAGCTTCAGAAGGCAGGACAGCAGCCATAACAGAGCACAGCCCTGGCCCTCTCCCCTTTATTGTCACAGCCCCTGGATAAGAAAGCTCATGTCCCTTCACCTGTGGCCCCAGGGCCAGCACAAGGTTGGAGTGAGGATGCAGTCAGTATAGACCCTCAGCCCACCCTCGCCCAACCTCCCTTCCTTTTTCTATTTTTTTTGGAGACAGGGTCTTCCCCAGGCTGGAGTGCACTGGCGCGATCTTGGCTCACTACAGCCTCGACTTTCCGAGCTCAAGCGATCCTCCCATCTCTCCACCTCCCGAATAGCTGGGACTACAGGTGCACTACCGCACCCAGCTAACTTTTGTATTTTTTTGTAGAGATGGGGTTTTGCCATGTTGCCCAGGCTGGTCTCAAAATTCTGGGCTCAAGTGATCCACCCGCCTTGGCCTCCCAAACTGCTGGAATTATGAGCACAATCTTCCTTCTTAACCCTTCCTTCGATTCTTCACCTTGGGAACTCTGCTGGGGACACCGAAGATCAGGACACAGCGTAGGCCCTCTTCCACCAAGGGCCTCATCATCTCTTCCAGCCGGCTCACACCATACCTGTGTGGGCATGGGTAAAGGGGCTGAAGGAAGGCAGGTCCCAGAAAAAGGTCCTCTGGATCCCCCACACGGTGCCTCTGTTAGGAGCCAAGCTACATATGGCACCAGGAGGGCTCAAGCCTCCAGGAGAGGAAGGGACAGGGATGCACCCACTAAATAGCAGGGAAGACTGAGGCCCTGAGTAGCAGAGCTCTGTTCAGCCGTGGCAGGTTCCTCCAAGGCCCTCTTATTAAACTCCCACCTGCAGTCAGCTCCCTTCTGCAACAGCCTCTGCCACGATGCCTCTGGTGATGGGTAACTCATGACTTTATGGGGCTGCCTCTTCCACTGCAGAACAGCTCTGGCCCTGAGAAAACCCTTCCCTCTACTGAGCTGATGTCTGCATGTTCGCATCTTCTACCTCCTGGGTCCGTTTCTGCCTCCCGGCACTTCCACCGTGGAATCTCTCCCTCCACCACCCTCTTGCCCCCATCTCCACATCTCCTACCTGGCCACTCCTGGGAGGCTGGCGATAGGCTGTACGTCATCAGGAACATCCCTGCAAGAGTTGGGGGTGGGATATGGATTGGTGGCTGTGGGAAGGGCCAGTGGTGAGGGGGTGCCTGAGAGGGATGGTTGGGAAGCAGGGAAGAAATATGGGCGTGGAGATGGCGGGAGGAGGGTGGGATCCAGTGTCTGGCTTCCCTGCCTGGCCAAGCCCAGGGCCTGAAATAATAATAGGAACAACAAGAATAACAGTGACAACAGTAGCAACTGGACTAAAAGAACAGCAGTTACAGGAAGGAATTAGTGGTTAACAATTTGGACTCTGAAGTCAGCAGGTCCTTGCTTCCTATCCCAGTCTACTGCCTGGGTGACCGTGGCCAAGTTCTATAATCTCTTTGAGACTTAGGCCTTCATGGGTGGTTAATTCATAACTCAACAAATATTTATTGAGTACTTCTATGTGCCAAGTACTGTTCTAGGCCCTGATGATACGACAGTGAACAAAATAGACAAACATCTCTACCCACACGGAGCTGATGTCTTGGAAGATATCTACTGCTTCTTCATACAAATGCTCTCAGAACTGAATGACAAAATGTGTGTAGGTGCTTAGAATAGTACCTGGTACACAGTAAGTACTCAGTAAATGTCTGCATTATTATTGTTGTTATTATTATTTTGAGACAGAGTTTCACTCTTGTTGCCCAGGCTGGAGTACAATGTCTCGATCTCAGCTCACTGCAACCTCCGCCTCCCGGGTTCAAGTGATTCTCCTGCCTCAGCCTCCCAGGTAGCTGGGATTACAGGCATGCTCCATCACACCCGGCTAATTTTGTATTTTTAATAGAGATGGGGTTTTCCATGTTGATCAGGCTGGTCTTGAACTCCCAACCTCAGGTGATCCACCTGCTTTGGCCTCCCAAAGTGCTGGGATTACAGGCGTGAGCCACCGTACCCGGCCGTTATTATTAACAATAACGATTGCCATCCCTTAGAGGTACAGAGCACCTTCTCAGGGTCTGTCTTATTGCAAGAGCTCAGGATGGCAGGCAAGGGTTATTCTTCTAATTTTCCAAATGGAATGACTGAGTTCTTTCAAAATTTGTTTTGTTCCTAAGATTCCTGTCCTTAATCCAAGTTGGCTGCTTCCAATACCTTGAATTTCAAGCTGACAGCTCACTTTGCCACCCCCAGCAATACTGATGCCCACTCCAGTCAACACTCCCACCCCAACCCCAACCAGCAGAGCAGAGGCCTGGCCCATTCTTGGAGACTCACGTGACAAAGATGGGGTAGATGAGGTTGGAGGCATTGAGGGTGGTGGTGGCGGTCTGCCAGGCCCGAAGCAGTGGGTGGAAGTAGCCACTGTGCAGAATGGACTGGGGCTGCATGTCGTGAGCCAGTGGGCACAGGGGCATCAGATGGTTGGAACCAAGGGCTCCTGGGGTGTTGGCTGCAGGCTCTGTCTGTGGGCGGTGATGGGTGGCACATTAGACACGGTCCCTGTCCTCAGGAGAGGGACACATTTGGAAGACAGCTCTTCCAGATTCCTGCCTCCCCTCTGTCTAGCCCAATGCTACTCACAGCATGGTTCACCAATCCCTGCTGGCCAAGAAGGTAAGTAGAGGAATGAAAGTCTTTAGAAACTTTCATGGGCTAGGCGCAGTGGCCCATGCCTGTAATCCCAGCACTTTGGGAGGCTGAGGTGGCAGGACTGCTTGAGCCGAGTTTGAGGCCAGCCTGGGCAACATGGTGAGACCCTGTATCTACAAAAAGTTTAAAAACTAGCCAGTGTGGTGGTACACACCTGTGGTCCAGCTACTCAGGAGGTTAAGGCAAAAGGATAGCTTGAGCCTAGGAGCTCAAGGCTGCAGTGAGCTATGACTGCACCACTGCACTCCAGCCGGGGCGACAGAGGGAGACCTGTCTCTAAAAAGTAATTATTTTATTTTATTTCATTTTATCAAAGAATCAATAGACTGGAAATAAAAAGAAAAAAAAAGAATGCATCCTTTCCTATGCACAGTTTGAGAAGCACTGATCTAGCCAACATTTAAACTTTGTTTATTCCATAAAAAATGCCCATGTTCATGGCAGAACTTTTAGAAAAGTATAGATAAGCAAAAAGAGAAAAATCCCCTGCGATTCTATCTTAGAGAAAAGTACTGTTGGCCAGGCATGGTGCTCATGCCCATAATCCCAGCACTTTGGGAGGGTGAGGTGGGCAGATCACTTGAGGTAAGGAATTACAGACCAGCCTGGCCAACATGGTGAAACACCATCTCTACTGAAAATACAGAAGAAAATTGGCTGGGCACAGGGGTGCACGCCTGTAATCCCAATTACTGGGGAGGCTGAGGCAGAAGAATCATTTGCACCCAGGAGGCAGAGGTTGCAGTGAGCCAAGATTATGTCACTACTGCATTCCAGCCTGGGCAACAGAGCAAGACTTTGTCTCAAAAAAAAAAAAAAAAAAAAAAAAAAGGGAAAAAGAAAAGAAAAGAGAAAAGTACTGTTAACACCTTGGGACATGGACTGCTTGTTAGGTACAATGCATACCAATAGGATAAAATAGTACCATTCATGTCAGACACACACACACACAAACACACACACACACACATACTCTAGTGCCACCAAATCTTTTCTAGCCCAAGGAGTTTCATGGGCTCCACAAGCACAAGCTATACCTTCTTGCTTTGCTCACCTTGTCCCTTTACCTGAAAGGCTATGCTCTCCCCACACCCACATCTACAGGGTTCTCCTCTCTTCCACTGAGGCTTTCTTGCCCAGATTGCAATCTCTCTTATATCAGTGATCTGTGGACCTGTCTTCTCTCATGCCAGTAGACAGGGCTTCTGCAGGGCAAGGTCCAGAGTTGCTTCATTTTTGCCTCCCCCACAGTGTTCTGTCACCAACTGACGTTGGCACACAGTAAATCTTTAATTATGTGAAATACAAAAATAGGCCTTAAACAGCAAATAAGTGGATACAAGACAGAAGGAAGCTGGGGCATTAATATTTGTTTCCAGAGCACCTACTGTGTGCCAGGCCATGCCTGGCACTTTCACAGGTGATTTCTCATCCAGTGGACTTCTCATCCAGGATGGCTGTGGGCTATTGTGAGGATCCAGTGGGCACTACAGTCCTGGGAGGCAGGGCTGACTGAGTACATGGAGCCTGACCAAAAGTGACCCATGGCTCCAATGGGAGTGAGGAGGTCAGAGACGCTTATTAGAAGATGATAGGGGACAGGCGTAGTGGCTCACGCCTGTAATCCCAGCACTTTGGGAGGCCAAGGTGGGTGGCCTTGAGGTCAGGAGTTCGAGACCAGCCTGGCCAACCTGGTGAAACCCTGTCTCTACTAAAAATACAAAAAAAAAAAAAGCTGGGTGTGGTGGCGCATGCCTGTAATCCCAGCTACTCGGGAGGCTGAGGCAGGAGAATCGCTGGAACCAGAGAGGCGGAGGTTGCTGTGAGCCAAGATCACCCCACTGCACTCCAGCCTGGGCAATAAGAGGGAAACTCCGTCTCTCTCACACACATACAAAGAAAAGAAATAAAAATAAAAATACAAAAATTAGCTGGGTGTGGTGGTGTATGCCTGTAATCAGAGTTCCTCTGGAGGCTGAGGCAGGAGAATCGTTTGAACCCAGGAGAGCTGGAGGTTGCAGTGAGCCAAGAGTACACCATTGCACTCCAGCCTGGGCAACAGTGTGAGATTCTGCCTCAAAAAAAAAAAAAAAAAAAAAAAAAAAAAAGGCAGGGGGTTGAACTTGGTTTTGCAGGACGAGTCGGTTCAGCCTGGCAGAGGGAAGGGGGCCAACATTTCCTTAGGAAGGAAAGAAAGGGGCAAAGGTGGGGAAGGAGGATGGCTGTGGGCTATTGTGAGGAGCCCAGGCTGAGGCTGTGGTAAGACTGCTGGGCAGTGGGTGGGCGTGATGCCTGGCTTTAGGAAGATCAATCCTGCAGGCTGAGCAGAGCAGATGGGAAAGCAGAGGAGTGCAGACGCTATGGAGGCTGGGGGCAGAGAAGGAAGGGGCGTTTTGAGGCAGCCAAGAGACAGTGTCTCAGGGCGGATGCTCTAGGCCTGCCTGCCTGACCTGGAGGGTGGCAGATAGAGACAGGGACAGGGCAGGAAGAGGGTGGTGGGCTGGGCTTGGAGAGGAGGTGGAGAGCTCTGTTTTAGACATTTCCTTTTGGAGATGCCTGGGAGAAATATCCCATAGCCAAGGAGATATTGGGTGGGGGAAGAGAGCCATAAAAATGGGGGCTGGCAGGCCTGAGTCCAACTGCTCTTTGTATGAATGGGACCTCAAGGCCCAGAGAGGGGCAAGGACTTACCCAAAGCTACACAGTGAGTAAGAGGACTAACTCCCAGGTGAACTGGGAGATCCTTTAGTAGGCTGGAGTCAAGACAGATATTGAAGCCAGGTCTAATCTCTCTGATTCTTGCTTCCCAGAAAACCACCTTTGTAACAGGCCTCTGGCCTCTGGAATTCAAAGCTGCATTCCCACGGCCTTGACTCCTCCTCCTGCTTATCAGAAACAGTGGGGCAGGGCTGCCTAGGAGCCTGGCTGCTTTTCTCTCCACAGTCTCTTAGGTCCCCTTCACCGACCCCAGCCATCTCAGGGGCCTGTTTTATCCAGTCTTCCTCCTTGCCAGGGTGGGGTTATCACAAGTCACAGTTGGGCCAGCCCTGCTGCCACACCCCTGGGTGGGCCAGCCTCATCACCTGACACAGGGACAGGCCAGACCTCCCCAGTCATGTCTCAACACCCAAAGAGGCAAAATCATTCAGTAGATATGAGGTCCTGGCTACCCATTTGGTACTTGATTTTGCTCTCATGTCTTCCAGGAGTTTTTCTTTTTTTTGGCCGGGGGCGGGTGGAGGGTGGAGTTTTGTTCTTGTTACCCAGGCTGGAGTGCAATGGTGCGGTCTCAGCTCACCACAACCTCTGCCTCGTGGGTTCAAGCGATTCTCCTGCCTCAGCCTCCTGAGTAGCTGGATTACAGGCATGTACCACCATGTCCAGCTAATTTTTTGTGTGTTTTTAGTAGAGACAGGCTTTTTCCATGTTGGTCAGGCTGATTTCAAACTCCTAACTTCAAGTGAGCAGCCCGTCTCAGCCTCCCAAAGTGCTGGGATTACGGGCTTGAGCCACCACACCTTGCTGAGAGAATATTTTTGAATATTGAGAGAATTATCAAAATGTAACCCAGCTGCCCAAGACCACATAGCTATTTAGTGGCTGAGCTAGAATTTAAATTTGTTCTAGACTCCAAATGCTGGGTTTATATGCTGTATTCCATAATACTGGTAAACACCTGATTCAGTAGGCTTCTCTCTGCCCATACTGTTTCTGTGTTGGGTGCTGGAGAGACAGAAGGCACAAAAGAAAAACATACTGAGTGTATTCATTCTGGGCTGGGCACAGCACTAGGTACTTTATAGCAGTATTTCATTTCATTGCAAGAATTGTCCTAACTTTTAGTGATAAGGAAACAGAGGCTCTGAGTGGTTCAGTGAGTTGCTTAATGCCATTAGAGTCTAGTCAATTTCGCGCCAGACTTGCCAAGCTGAAGACAGGTCTAATCTCTCTGATTCACTTCCCAAAAAACAACTTCTGTTGTTTGCTGGCTTCTGGAATCCAGAGCTGCATTCCACTGGCCTCAACTCCCCATCACCTTTAGGAGGCTGCGGGAACAACTGCCTCCTGCTTAGCAGAAACACTGGGGCAGGCTGCCTATGAGCCCGGGAACGGGGCAGGGCTAAAGGGAGCAGTCTCACTACAGCAGTTCCACTTGGATCTGTTTTTGAATTCTAAGATTCTGAGAGAGATTTGATTTGAGAAATGGGCATCAGTGCTGAAAGTATTAAAAACTTGAAAATTGCCAATCCTGTTTGATCCCTTACATCTTAATGTGGAAAACAGGGTATAGAGAGGTGACAGGATTTGTTTGAGATCACACAGTGAGTGACATAGAGAGCTAGAAACTGACCCTGGCAGCTCCTGGCTTCTAGCTTAGTGCCCTGATACCTATGCCATAGTCATTCCATTGTAGGAGGTGCTTAATCATTGTCTGTGGAGTGGGAAAACACCCCCTGAATCCCATATCTGGCAGAGCCAAATCCAAGATGGATTTTACTTTGCAAAAAGGCCCTTAGAGTTTGGGAGATTGTTACAGACTGGGAGGATACTTCTCCCATATCAAGGGAGCTTGCAAACCACAACTTAGGCAGGGCGTGGTGGCTCACGCCTATAATCCCAGCACTTTGGGAGGCCGTGGCAGGCGGATCACGAGGTCAAGAGATCGAGACCATCCTGGTCAACATGGTGAAACCCCATCTCTACTGAAAATACAAAAAATTAGCTGGGCATGGTGGTGCACGCCTGTAGTCCCAGCTACTTGGGAGGCTGAGGCAGGAGAATTGCTTGAACCCAGGAGATGGAGGTTGCGGTGAGCTGAGATCGTGCCATTGCACTCCAGCCTGGGTAACAAGAGCGAAACTCTGTCTCAAAAACAGAAAAAACAAAAACAAAAACAAAAAAACAAAAAACCACAACTTAAATCCCTATGACATCACCATACTGAAGACAGGCGCAAGCTACCAGGAGGCCTGCCACCTCTGCCCACCCACATTGAACAGGTTAGTTTTGCTGGGACGCAGAGTATAGGGCAGAGCAGAAAGAACCATGTTTCAGGGTCAGGCAGCCCCAGGTTTGGTCTATGCTCTGCTGTGTAATTTTGGGCAAAGTCAGTGACCTTCCAATGTTCATTTCATAATCTACAAAACAGGCATGATATCTCTAATTTGCAAGGGTGTGGGGGAAGATTAGAGACAGGGATGAGGCAGGTGTCTGGCACCAAAGAGCTGCACAGTAAATATGTAGCTAATTGTATTACTATTAGGAGGAGGGCTGGGCTGGAATGAGATGTCCTAGCACAACTCTGTGCCTTCTGCACCTCACCCAGACGGGAATATGCGATCAAACCCTTGTGGGGTACAGAGTTTTCCAAGATTTCTGAAGTGGAGTCCCTGCCTTCCAGCAGGTTATGTGGTAGAGGAAAAAGAAAATCACCACCTGGCTGCCAGAGTAGAGGGGTGGACCAGGTGCTGTGAGAGGGACTGTGTCTCTGGAAGTCAAGGATGGTTTCATAGGAGAGGGGACAGTGAAGGATAAAAAATGTTTCAGATTATTTATTTTGAGATGGAGTTTCGCTGTTGTTACCCAGACTGGAGTGCAATGGCGCGATCTCGGCTCACCGCAACCTCCGTCTTCTGGGTTCAAGCAATTCTCCTGCCTCACCCTCCCGAGTAGCTGGGACTACAGGTGTGCACCACCATGCCCAGCTAATTTTTGTATTTTTAGTAGAGACGGGGTTTCACCTTGTTGACCAGGATGGTCTCGATCTCTTGACCTCGTGATCCACCTGCCTCTCAAAGTGCTGGATTATAGGCGTGAGCCATGGCGCCCAGCCTTAAAAATGTTTCAGATTTAATGTGAAAGTATCTCCTCCTGTGGAAGGCAACATCCCCAAACTGGGAGTAACTGAAGTTGGGCCCTGAGTGCTGCCACCAGGAGGGGCTGAGAAAGCTTCATGTTGTCCCATGTTGTGCTGTGTTGGAAGATTCCAGAGACTGTGGTCTTGGCACAAAGGGTTAGGACCTGCTGCCAGCCCTGGCAGGCTCTGCCACTGGCCAGGGAGGAGGCAGTCAGGAGAGCCAGCTAGGTAGAAGGTGGCCAGAATTGAGAAATCCAAAGCCCACAAAGCCCCAGGAGAACGGCTATCAGTTCTGAAAAGGGACGGAGTGTTCATACAGCCGACTCAAAGTTCTTGAATATCTACTCTGGGCCTGCCAAAGTGCTAGACACAGGGATTAAGGAGAAGAATGAGACCCCAGCCTTGTCCTGGGGCTCTCTGAAGAGCCTGATCTCCTCTGGGGTTAGCCATTTGGACGTAGAAAGAGAAACTGCCATTCCCAGAATCCTGTATCGTTGGCTAAGAGGCTTCTTAAAGTTTGCTGGTTGTATCACTGAAACAAGAGTGAAACTGGGCTCAGAGAAGGGAAGACACAGGCCCAGGGTCACGCAGTGGGTCAGCAGCAGATCTGGGGCAAGGCATCCAGCAGCCCAGTCCTCAGTGCCCACAATGACACCTCCATACTTTAAGGACAGATATCAAATCTGCTTCCCAGCAGGTTGGGCTTGTGCAAAGCTCCGGGTGAACTGTGACTCTGGCTGGACCTTGCTGCTGTTGGTAGCAGGATGGTTAAGTGTGTGGGCTCTGGAGTCTGATAGATGTGGGTACAAATCCTAGTTCTATAGCTTGCTAGTTGTGTGACCTTAGTTTCTTCATTTAGTAGATGGGGACTTGAACCGATCGAAATGGGTTGTTGTAAGAAATGAATGGACCCGTGTTGTATGTAAGGAGTGAAGGTTAGAATGAATGGGCCAAGGCACGCAAGGCTTAGTACAAAGCAGCTGTTAATTGTTTTCACCTCCCTACCCCCGTAACCGCCACCCGCACCTCCGGCTCTGCATCGATAGAGTTTACCCCGGCGGTATCTGAGAGGGTGGACTCCAGAGAAGAGGTGCGGAGCCCCGAACCCGGCCCCCCAACCCCAGCTGGAGCGGGACAATCATGCCCAAACGCTTCACCAGACTCTGTACGCCGCTGCACCGCCAGGTCTTCAGGCGCACTGCACAATTTGGGGACGCCGGACTCTTGATACCACAGTCCCCACCTTGCCCTGGAGCCGCCCTCCAAGCCCGCTATCTCCCCGCGTCCAGCCCCTGCTCACCTGCCTCCCTAAGGGCTCCGGGAAGCTGCTCCCACCACCGCTGTCTCCGGCTCTGGCCTTCCGGGTCCCACATCGGGGCGGGGGAGCTCGCCCGGAAGCAGCTCCCCCACGGCCCGCCCCCACCACCGTGCAGGCCACGCCCTCCGAAGGCCGCTTCACTGGATTCCTCCGCTCCAGCTGCGGCCCCGCCCACACGCGCCGAGGTCTGGCCAATCGGGTGAGCCGAGGGCCTGGCGGGCCCGCCCCTCTCCGCTCCGGGGGCCCGCGTTTGTGCTTGGAACCTCAGGAGGGAGCCCATGAGGGACCGCGGGAACAGTGTGGGAGGGTCTCTGGACTTGAGCCGGCCCCGGAGGCGGATACATCCCGAGTTCATTTCACAGCAGTCCTCTTCGCAGCCTAGGGCAAACTTGGCGCTGGTTAATGGTTTGGTGAAAGAATAATTGGATGTCAAAGCCATTAGAACAGCACCATTATGCCTAACACAATATTAGCTAAGTCCATTTTTGCGGACTAAGCGTTTTAAAGTTGTTGTTCAGCGCCAGACTTCTGAGTTTTCAGAGAAAATTTGTTCCTGTATAATTAATTTCTCAGGTACGACAGTGCTAAGTATGAGTTGAGAGATGTGATGTGAAAGACATGGGCATTTAGGAAAACTCCAAGTCTGATAGGGGCATCAGACCTATGATGGGTATAATGAAAGATCCGACCAAAAGTCTGTAGGGGAGTTGGAGCAGAGTATGTGCGGGGGCAGGAGGGATCTGATGAGGCTTATGGGGCCTGGGTAAACTAGGAATCGGATGGGTAAAGTAGCGATCAGGGATAATCGCCTTAGTGAAGGAATGCCTTTGACGTGGTTCTTCAGGGATTATTGAAAAATTGACTTTGAAATGTAGAGGACACTAGTCGGTTATATTACACTTATTCTCAGATTTTATTTCTCGGCCGGGTTCGGTGGCTCACACCTGTAATCCCAGCACTTTGGGAAGCAGAGGTGGGCAGATCTTTTGAGGTCAGGAGTTCGAGACCAGCTTGACCAACATGGTGAAACCCTGTCTTTACTGAAAATATAAAAAATTAGCCGGGCGTGGTGGTGGGCTCCTATAATCCCGATGACTTGGGATGCTGAGGCAGGGGAATCCTTTGAACCCGGGAGGTGGAGGTTGTAATGGGCTGAGATCATGCCACCACACTCCAGCCTGGGTGACACAGCAAGACTCTACCTTAAAAACAAACAAACAAAAAGATTTTTAAGTATTTATTTTTGTTTTTATTTTCCAAAAAGCGTTGTTTTTATTTACATAGAGTCCTAACCACTTTGGCAGTAGGAGGAGCGGGAGAGGCTTCTTTTTCAATCCAGGGACCTCCATAGTGTTGGTTTGTTGTTACCATACACACAGGTTTAAGCGGCATCATGGATCTGGTAAACTAAGGACAGTGTTTAGTCTCTCTGCTAGAGCAACAAGGTGAGCGTCAATCTCTGCTTCTGTAAGAATCCGGAATTTAGGATTTTCAACTGTCACTACTCCAACTTCTATTTCTGAAGGTTTGAAATCAATTGATAGAACAATAGACAGTCATGTAATTGCAGTTTCCACTGTCTGTTCAAATGTCCAATCAAATTTCTTCTTCACCTTTTTTCAAGGAAGCTGGTTGGCTCAGTTGTTTAACTCCTGCTGCAGTGGCTTTAAACCCACAGTAGTAATCTGCAGGATTACACCTATATGCCTGACGGCCTTGCTCTTCATCTACACCAATTAAAATCATCCAACAACCAAGAGGCCTCATTTCAGCATTCTGTGTGTAGGCCTGAGAAATATCTGCAATTTGTTTACACAGTGTGTCCACAGGAATCTTGTAGCCATACTTGCATTTCCAGTTAGCTGCCTCATAGCGTGCCCTCTGTGCCTGGGATCTGCTGTCAGCTGTCATTCTAGTCATCACACAGCCAGTGTTTTCAGTTATCTTGAATAAGTGAGTCACTGTGCTGGAATCCAGTGATTTGTCAGGTGCTTTATTCTGCATGACAATTACTGCACAGCCTTTCCTTCTGACAGCTACTGATGTCTTACTACTGTAAGACAGCTACTGGTTAATTGCTTTAAAAGCATATTCTACTTGGTAGAGCCGACCCTCGGGTGAAAAATGGTAATGTGGTGGTCAGAACTGGCGCTGGAACCAAGGGACATTTGGTAGAACCACTACTTCAAACACAATCCCTGGGCCCTGGAGCTCCTGCACCAGGCGTACAAGTCCCTCCCAGAAGTTCTAGCAAAAGATTTTATTTCTCAAAATCTGTACCCAAGCCTGTCATATACTTTATATTTTAAATTAAAGGGGCATAGCAGTGTAAGGCTAGGAAAATATGACACTGCTTAGTTTCCAGCTACTAGAGTTTTGATCTGTGTTCAACAAGGAAGTGGGTAAAAAGAACTAATGTTGCTTTGTATTAAAGACTCAGGGACAGTACCATGCATTTTACATTCATTTGTCTAATCTTGATGGTAACAATGTTACTATTCTCACTTTACAGATTAGAAAAACAATTGCCAGCTAAATTAAATAATTTGCCCCATGTTACATTGGGCTCTCTCTGCAATGCCTGCTAATAACCACGCTCCATAGGGGCAATGATTATTTATTTTTTCCTAGATTCCCTGGCCAATATTTCTTTCCTGATACCTGTTCCTTCCCTGAGGTTATTGATAACTAAAAATAATGAGAACCATCATTAGCTCTAATAGCTTTTTCCTTCACACTAGAAACATCCTTTCTTAATTCCCATGAGCACTACTCAGCTCCTGTGGCTTCCTTAAGCTCAGTCCCCCGTCTCATGTCCGCTTCCCCTAGCTTTCTCTGTGTGATTACTTGGCACGTGGATCTTCCTGGAGCATTGCTGGGTTACAGACTCTATACTTAGACCTATTACTCAAAGCCTGCATGAGAAGGGCTTACCCTGCTACCTATTTTAACCTGCCACTCTCTAACAAGGCTGTGTGCTCTAGTTAACAATCCCCAAAAGAACTCTCCTTCCAAATGGCTTTAGTTAATTCTGCCCCATTCATCACCAAACTTGGACTACCTAAGAAAAACTGTTTCCTGAGAATAGGGACTATGACTTTAAAACTACTGGGAAAAATCTTTGACGTCATCCACCAGTTTTTTCCCCACCACGCTTCTATCATTACTAGGGTGGGATCTGGACTTTTCAAATTCCTTACTAGGCTAAGGTCATGTCTCACTTGTCTTTTTTTTTTTAGGCAGAGTCTCCATTTGTCACCCAGGCTGCAGTGTAGTGGTACAATCTCAGCTTGCTGCAACCTCTATCTCCTGGGTTCAAGCGATTCTCCGGCCTCAGCCTCCTGAGTAGCTGGGATTACAGGTGTGCACTACCACGCCCGGCTAATTTTTGTATTTTTAGTAGAGATGGGGTTTTACCATGTTGGCCAGAATGATCTCGATCTCCTGACCTCATGATCCACCCTCCTCAGTCGGCTGAAGTGCTGGGATTACAAGCCTGAGCCACCACTCCAATGTTTCACTTTTTAACCATGGCCCAACCCATTCAAAGCTACTTTTGCAGCCTTACCTCCTCTTTTTACTGATAGGAAATTGAGGTTCTTCAGAAAGAAGTGACTTGCTCAAGATCTTATCACTAATTTATGAAAACTGGGATCCTGTTCCAATGATGTTTAGCCTTGCTCCTATTTTTTTAAATAAGCTTTTTATATTTCAACAGTTTCTCTACTTATGTCCTTTTTCAATTACAAGGGCCAACCCAGAATACCACATTGCATCTAGTGAACACACTTTTTAAGATTGAGATGAAATGCAAAGAACATATAATTAACCGTTTTTTGGCTGGGTGTGGTGGCTCACACCAGTAATCCAGCACTTTGGGAGGCCGAGGCAGGCAGATCACCTGAGGTCAGGAGTTCAAGACCAGCCTCTTCCCTTCCCCCCTCCCAAATCCAAATCAGAATCTCTGGGCATGAAGAGCCATGGTTGTATCTTCGTGAAATGTTATTTATAAATTTATGATTTGAAAAAGCTATGTAGATTTGGCTGGGCACGGTGACTAATACCTATAACCCCAGCACTTTGGGAGTCCGAAGTGGGCAGATCACTTGAGGTCAGGAGTTCTCAACCAGCCTGGCCAACATGGTGAAATCTGTCTCTACTAAAAATAGAAGAATCAGCCAGGTGTGGTGGCACGGGGCTGTAATGGTAGATACTTGGGAAGCTGAGGCAGGAGAATAGCTTGAACTCAGGAGATAGAGGTTGCAGTGAGCAGAGATTGCACCACTGCCCTTAAGCCTGGTTGACAGAGCAAAACTGTCTCAAAAAAAAAAAAAAAAAAAAAAGCTATGTAAATTAGATAGGTAATATAGCACTGTGGTTAAGAGATAATAGAGGTAGGCCGGGCGCGGTGGCTCAAGCCTGTAATCCCAGCACTTTGGGAGGCCGAGGCGGGCGGATCACGAGGTCAAGAGATCGAGACCATCCTGGTCAACGTGGTGAAACCCCGTCTCTACTAAAAATACAAATTAGCTGGGCATGGTGGTGTGTGCCTATAATCCCAGCTACTCAGGAGGCTGAGGCAGGAGAATTGCCTGAACCCAGGAGGCGGAGGTTGCGGTGAGCTGAGATCGCGCCATTGCACTCCAGCCTGGGTAACAAGAGCGAAACTGTCTCAAAAAAAAAAAAAAAAAGAGATAATAGAGGTAACAGCAGTGCTACTTCATAGGGTCTAAGAGTTAATACTTGAGGCTGGGTGTGGTGGCTCACACCTATAATTCCAGTATTTTTGGAGGCTGAGACAGGTGAATTGCTTGAGCCCAGGAATTTGAGATCAGCCTGGGCAACATAGATAGACCCTGTCTTAAATTTAAAAAAAAAAAAAGTAAAAAAGGGTTAATACTTGAAAGCATTTAGATAGAACACACTAGGGGCTTAACAAAGTTGCTGAGAATCTAGTATGTACAGGTGCCCAGCAGATCCATCAAAAGCTCTTGCAGCAGGTGTGGTGGCTTATCCACTTTGGGAGGCCAAGGTGGGCGGATCACCTGAGGTCAGGAGTTCGAGACCAGCTTAGCCAACGTGATGAAACTGTCTTTACTAAAAATACAAAAATTATGGGGGTGTGGTGACACACACTTGTAATCCCAGCTACTCGGGAGGTTGAGGCAGGAGAATCGCTTGAACCTGGGAGGTGGAGGTTGCAGTGAGCCGAGATCACACCACTGCACTCCAGCCCTGGCGACAGATTGAGACTCTTGTCTCAAAACAAACAAAAAAACCCAAAAAACCAAGCAAAACAAAAAAACCCTTTTGCAGTTCAGAGCCCTTGCCTGTGAATGAGCAGCACCTGCTGGTCATCCAAGGCGATGCAGGATCTCATGTTTACAAAGGTCTGGCCAAGTCCACACCCCAAAAACTGTATGGAGAGCATCATCAGGGGTTCTCTCCAAAAACACACTATGAACAAGCAGGATGAAACAGGAGGCATCATTTTTTTAACAAGAGTGTTCTTTATTTGTACAAAGCATTACAATCTTCTCAGCATTCTTCACTCATAAACTTTTCATTGTATTTATTTAGCAAGTTAACAGTGTCAAACTACACATCACTACCTGTCAAACCCCAAGCGCTCAACTTAGAGACAAACAAAAAGTGCTTGGACCACTGACTGGAAACAGAAAAAGGCTAAGAAAGGCCAACAGAGAGATTTTGGAAGCAGTTAAAGAGGACGGTTTAGGAGGAGTTAGATTCCTGAGCACCATCAGATTTCCCTTAAGGTTCAGAGGGGCTTCACAATCACAAAGTAATTTTTAGAAGACATGAGACAAAATTAGCCGGGCTTGGTGGCACACATCTGTAGTCCCAGATACTCAGGAGGCTCAGCGGGGAGGATCACTTGAGCCCAGGAGTTCAAGGATGCAGTGAGCTAAGATCATGCCACTGCACTCCAGCCTGGGCCACAGAGTGAGACCCCATCTCTTAAACAAAACAAAAAAAACCCATGAGATTAGAACTAAGTAATCAAGAGATCAGAGGAACTCACACTTTGGAATATGAAGCAGGTAATCAAAGCTCCTAGACTGACAGAAGTGAGAAAAGGAGGGAGAGGGGAGCAGAGGAGAGGCAGAAGACAGAAAGGAAACAAGAGGCACAGAGGAAGAAAGCTGTGACAAGAGGAAATAGTTGGGAACTCATCATGAATTGAAGAATGAAAAGCCACAGTCACAAGTCTGGGAGATGAACTACAAGAAGAGGAAGCCTGGGGTTTTATACCTTCCAGGAGGTGATGACAAATCCTAAAGCTGTACAGTAGCCGATAGAAGGTACATCTAACACTACGCCATCTGTTTTTGTAAAAGTAAGACACTGGCACCTGGGCTTGACTAATCCCATTCTATACTGCAAATTTACAAACATTTGTGACCAGATTACCACCACCCAGCAGGTCAAACATATACAGGCAATACAGAAAGGTTCCGAACCAAGTGGGTCTATGAAAAACAAACTTCAGTTAATGCTTCAGTTAAGTGAAGAGACAGAACAGATTTTGTTATTCTTCCACAGCATTCTAGTGGTTTCCTAAAGCTTACAAATTCTGACCAGTCTTAGTAAGCTACTATTGTCAAAGACTGTGCAATCAAACACAGGCTGACCCTAAGCAAAGCCCCAATTTTTCCTGAGCCTTGGCTGCCTCTGTGATCTGAAACGCAGCAGGCAGCATGGAAGTTATTACTTACGTGGGGCAACGAGGAAGACTGTGGATCAAAAACCACCTAACCATACATATAAGTAACCAAAAGTGATCAAACTGTCATTTAGCTGTTCAGAATCCCTCTTGTCAAAAAGTCATAACCTTCAGATTGATAAAGCAAAACAGGGTTCTGCTACTCAGATGCTCTGAGTTTGGGAAGTGCTGGTTTTGATGGTATTTCTAGCCAGTTTTTATTCTGATCTTTTCAGGCACTTCTGCCTGAGACTGCTCTGCCCCACATGGAAAAGCCTCATAGAAACATGTAGCACATCGCATCTCAAGTGGTACCTTCCAAGGTGCCACAGTCTCCCACCCTATTCAGTTGTCTACTTCCTCCTCTTCATTCTGTTCTTCTTCTTCCAGCCTTTCTTCGTCTTCATCATTGTCCTCATCCCGGCTCTTGTCTTGATCTTCAGAGTCTGTTTTTTTGTCTTTGTCTTTCTTCTTTTGCTCTGAGGCCTCCTTCTTGCCTTTCTGTTCCCGCCTATATGCTGTAAGGAGGAAAGGGGTTAGGAGACAGAGAGCTGAGTGAGTCCGACAGACTGCAGCAACTAACTGCATCGTACAATTGGAAAAACAGAGGCAGATGGGCCCAGTGGCTCATGCCTGTAATCCCAGCACTTTGGGAGGCTAAGGTGGGTAGATCACCTGATGTCAGGAGTTCAAGACCAGCTTGGCCAACATGGTGAAACCCTGTCTCTACAAAATTACAAAAATTAGCCGGGCATGGTGGTGTGCACCTATAGTCCCAGCTACTCGGGAAGCTGAGGTAAGAGAATTGCTTGAACTCAGGAGGAGGAGACTGGAGTGAGCCACTGCACTCCAGCTTGGGCAATAGGGCAAGACTCTGTGGTGCCCACTTAACTGGGTTGAGTCACGTCAAGTACTGGCTTACTGGACTTAAAGGGACCCACGCTCAGAAAGGCTCAGGGCCGGATGAACAGGTCACACAGAATGACCATCTTCTGTGTGGTTCAGAACACAGGAGGCTTGTTACCTTCTAGGGCTTCTTTTAATGGGGTAACGAACCGCTGGAACTCCATCTCTTCCATGGCTGACAGCACATCGGTGGCATTCAGCGTCTTGCGCTTTCCTTTCATTGCAAAGTTGTTCGCACTGGGAGAAGAGAAAGGCTGTCAGACTCCCTCTTGAGCGTAAGGGGTGGGTGGGAAAAGGAGCACCCAGAGGTGGGACGGGAAAGCCTTCTCACATGCATGGATTTTGGTGTGAGAGGATTAAGTTCTTCCCTTCTCCGTATAAAAAAGCTAAAGCAAAGTCATTTTGTTGTTTTTTTGCTTCAGAACTTGTAATAGGCAGAGGACTGTTAACCTCTCCCCACCTAAGGAGGACACAATCGTTGGGGTTTGTGGGCTCCCGGTCAGGAACTCCCAGCCAGGTATCCCCGCACCTCCCTTATGCCTCTGCCCGGCTCACCAGGATGTGGCGTACAGCACGAAGACGCTGGCGGCGCGAGAGATGGCGCTCCGGGCCTCCTTAGAGATGTTAACACCGTCCGGGAGCTGCGAGGAGACCGGGGGTAAGCAAAGCTGCCGGTCCAGGACCTGCTTCCCTCCTGCCCGCTCGTCCGCCCCGCCCCCCCTCCGAACTGCTCACCGCCTCCTTGATGATCCTGGTGATGACAGCGTTGGGCAGGTTTAGGTCTTCTGGCCTTTCCGCCATTGCCGCTGCCGGGGCTGAGCCTCCCCCTCGCCTCTGCTTTAGGCAGCTACTGCGTCCGGACTTCCCGCGTCGCTACGGTCTGACCCACCCGAGCTTCCGTCCCACCCCACGTGTCCCACAGTGTCCCAGAGTGCCCAGCGCGCCATAGCCTCCCTCCTTTCCCAGCCCCGCCTCCGCCTCAAATGCCGGCGCATCCAGACTTTGAAGCCTCAGTGGTTTTGGCCCGTCGAGGCTTCATCTAACACCAGCGCACCCCGAACGTCCATCCCCAGGTCAGTTTCTCTGCTCCTCGCCTTCGCCACGTCGAGAACCTTCGCACCAACTTAATATGGCCCAATGGAGCTTCCGTCCGTTTCCCATGGTGCTCTGCGCCGCTGCTTGGCGACGGCGCGGGCGGGGCGTAGCGCGCCGGAGACAAAGGCGTGGCTGACTCGGCTGGGCGGGTACCCTTAGACCCGGAGGCGGGCTCTGGGCGGCCCGCTAGGTTAACCTACTCTCCACGCCGCAAGGGGCCGCGTTTTCCCCCTTGGTTTCGCAATTCTAAGCGGTTTCGAATCTGCTTTGCTCTTGCAGGACCTCAGCCCCGCGTGGTCAGATTCTCCCAATATTTTTTTCTTTTCTGGAATGAAACGGGTAGTCTTTTTCCACCTCTACCGAAGTTGATGTTGGTTTCTAATCTTTTCGCCCTTCACACCTGCGTAACAATGGTACTAAGAATGAGTGTTATTTAGGTGTTTTTGGTTGTTGTTTTTAACGCGAACTATTGAGGCAGCCCAGGGATAATGCTTGCTATATAAAGATGCGCCTGATTAGGCCCGGGGTTTAATTCGGGCTGGGTAGGTAACAAAAGGGCGAGAAGCAGCTTTTTCGTTGTAAGAAGAATGCAACATCACTTTCGCTTTCAAAAACAATGTTAAAATTGTATTTATTTTTCAGTTAAATTGTTCATCATACATTTTTTCCAGTTAAAACCATTCTCATGGTTTGCAATGGCGTTTTGTTTTTAAGTCATATTCATATTAAGTACGTAGAAATTCTCAATTCCACTGATTTTTTTTTTGTTTTTTTTGACAGGATCTCACTCTGACCCTGGCTAGAGCGGCACGGTCTGGGCTCACTGCAGCCTAGACCTTCCGGGCGCAGGTGGTCCTCCCACCTCAGCCCCCAGGTAGCTGGTGCTACAAGTGCGTTCCATCACACACAGCTGATTTTTTTGTATTTTTCATAGACAGAGGGTTTCACCATGTTGCCCCGGCTGGTCTCGAACTCCAGGGCTCAAGGGATTCATCCTCGGCCTCCCAAAGTGCTGGGATTACAGGCGTGAGCCACCGGGCCAGGCCTTCGACAGAGAATTAGTGCTGCTCTTTTCCCTTCAAGCATGCAGCCTCAAGTCGCCCATTAGTTTTCCTGTTTTCGATAGAGGCCTGTTTACAGAGAAATATTTAAAAGCAAAAGAGCAAATGCTGTGATAAATGGCAACTAAAAGTGCTTCAATTAGAGACCATAAGGTCTGGTGGGGGAATTCCGTTTGGATAGAACAGACCTGGCTGAAAACATCAGAGCTTCTCAGTGCTAGTCAATTACTGTTCAGCTGGAATTGCCAGTGTTGCCAAGTATTTTGGTCCCTAAAAGGAGCCAGAAATCCGGACACTGGGCTATTTCAATATTGAGATAGGTTCAAAGTGCCAGCCAAACAAAACAAGTCATAGGCCAGGTGCAATCCCAGGCTGATAGTTTATCTTTGATCTAAATTATAAACTGTTGAGAACAAGGAGTTTGTTCATTACTGTTCATGTCCGAAGCAGGTCCCCTCACAAGTAATCAATAAATGTGTTGAATGAAAGAAAGAAATGGACACCATCCTTAAAAAGTTCTTAGGGATAAAGTGGTAGTTAGTGATTGCCTAAAACACCTCTAGAAAGGAGAAGATGAATATATTTATTGAGCACCTCCCATCCGTAAACATACATTATCTCATTTAATGCTTCTGCAGTCTTTAGGGATTCCCCTCCTTCTGCTTATTTTATTTATTATTTTTTGTAGAGGTGGGTAACTCATCTTGGCCTACCAAAGTGCTGTGATTACTGACCTGAGCCACCAAGCCAGGACCCCTCCTCCTACTTGAAAGAGAGGTGTGAAGTCAGTGGTCCAAGGCCATATGGCCAATAAATGAAAAACTAATGGCCTCTGATGCAACTGGGAGTGTCTAGGGATTTGCTGTTTGAGCAAATGCATTCATTGCTGGTGGGTATTTGATCTGCCTTCATGGGAACCGAAGCACATTGGAAAATGAAGCATATCTTTCATGAGTGTGGGCCTTCTAAGAGCTCTGTGACTACTTTGGTCATAATTTGATAATGTGTTTTGGAGATGGTGACATCTTCTCCCTGATAACTAATGAAAGGGAAAAGGAAAGGATACACATATTTATTTGGAACAATATGCCAGGCTTTTACTATCCATTAACTAATTTTTATAATGACCCTGTGAAATAAGCTTATCCTCATTTTACGGTTGAGGCAAGAGGCTCAGACTGGTTACGTCCCAGGTCACTCTGTTGTTAAAGAGCCAATTAGGAGACCTGAAGTCATCTGCTCTCAAACTCTTGCCATTCTACCTCATGCTGAGATATTTCCATACTTGCTTGTCACCCAGTCTTTAATTATTTTGTGGCCATAGTTTACCTGTGTAGGTTCAATAGAAATATTTTCTACTTTGAGTTCAAATTAAGATCTGGACTGTATGGCTAATATATAATACTCCTCAATTATGTGGTGGTTGATTTTCCAGAGGACTAGAATGCTGCAGGGTTGGCCTTTGTCCTAAACCATTTCTAGGTATGGACTTGCCAGATGAGAGCCAGTGGGATGAAACCACCTGTGGCTCAGCTGTCTGTCAGCATCCACAATGCTGGGCAACTATCCGCCGTGTCGAGAGGGGCCATCCTCGAATCCTCAGCTCACCCTGCAGAACTCCCCAGGATGCTGAAGGTGAATTAACCAGCTTCTGTCCTCTCCCTTAAGAGGTTCTTAATCTGTTCAGATATGTGGCTTCCTTTCTCCAGGCAGCATGTTGACACCCTTACTTCTGGTCTGCTTCTTCAGATAAACTCCCAGTGCTCACCGTGGTAAACATCCCAGATTCCTGCTTTGCACCTCGTCGTTTACCAGAATGTACCTTTACTAAGACCCGTTCTTTATTGTCTCAGAGTTCAAAATTTGACTCCAAATTTCAAGGCAGGTAAATTATCACGGGATCTTCCTTTAGCAGCCGATCGTCTCAAAATTCTGGGTTATGATTTTCCTTATCCATGTAGTATACTTTAAGAAAGCCAGATTAAAAATACCAATTTGGTTAAAGAACTGGTGAATAGGCAGTGGGAAACAGAAAGAAACTCTTTCTGTTTGTGCTCTAGGAACTGGTTAATTTGGGAGGTATATTGGTTCGCTAGGGCTGTCGTAACAGAATACCATAGACTGGGTGGCTTAAACAACAAAAGTAATTTTCTTATTATTCTTGAGACTAGAAGTCAGTATCAAAGTGTTGGCAAGATTGTTTTCTTTTGAGGCTGCTCTTGGTTTGTAGATGATAATTTTTTTTCCTTGTGTCTTTTTTATTTATTTCCTTTTTTTTGAGACAGGGTCCCATCTTGTTACCCAGGCTGGACTGGAGTGCAGTGATACGATCATAGCTCACTGCAGCCTTAACTGTCCAGGCTCAAGCGATCTTCCCATCTCAGCCTCCCAAGTAGCTGGGACTACAAGTGTGCACCAACATGCCTGGCTATTTTTTTTACTTTTTTTAGAGACGAGGTCTTGCTTTGTTGCCAGGGCTGGTCTTGAACTCCTGGCCTCAAGTGATCCTCCTGCCTTGGCCTCCCAAATTGTTGGGATTACAGACATGAGACACCGTACTGGGCCTCTCTCCCTATGTCTTAACATGTCTTCCCTCTGTGTGTCTGTGTCTTAATTTCTTCTTACAAGGACACCAGTCTTACTGAGTGAGAGCCCACCCATGTGACTTCATTTTTACTTTAATTACTTTTTTAAAGACCGTATCTCCAAATACATTCAAATTCTGAAGTACTAGTTAGGACTTCAAAGATGAATTTTTGGAGGAGACAATTCAGCCCCCATCTTATCAGCGTCTGTAGATCAGAAAACTGTCTCTATATGTATGCTGTTTTCTTTTCCTTTTTTTTTTTTTGTCTTTTTGAGACAGAGTCTCACTCTGTCATCCAGGCTGGAGTCCAGTGGCACGATCTCTGCCTCCCAGGTTCAAGCAATTCTTGTTCCTCAGCCTCCCGAGTAGCTGGAATTACAGGCATGTACCACCACACCTGGCTGAGTTTTATATTTTTAGTAGAGACGGAGTTTCGCCGTGTTGTCCAGGCTGGTCTTGAACTGCTGACCTCAAGTGATCCACCCACCTTGGCCTCCCAAAGTGCTGGGATTACAGGTGTGAGTCACCATGCTCAACCCTGTCTTTCTATTTCTTTTTTTTTGGTGGGGTACAGGTTCTTACTCTGTTGCCTAGGCTAGAGTGTAATGGCGTGATCTTGGCTCACTGCAATCTCCACCTCCCAAGTTCAAGTGATTCTCCAGTCTCAGCCTTCTGAGTAGCTGGGACCATAGGCATGTACCACCATGCCCAGCTAATTTTTCTTTTTTTTATATAGACAGGGTTTTGCCATGTTGCCCAGGCTGGTCTTGAACTCCTGAGCTCAAAGCGTTCCACCCACCTCAGCCTCCTAGAGTGCTGGGATTTCAGACATGAGCCTCCTAGAGTGCTGGGATTTCAGTGCTGGGATTTCAGGCATTCCCCCATCTTTCTATAATAATATTTTATTTTTAGGTATGAAACTATAAGCTACTAAATGAAGAAGCAGTGGCTTTTTTTTCCCTTTTCTTGAGTCTCCTACGTACCCACTGAGTGCTTGCCGATATACAAAACTAAGGGACAAGTATTTGTGGAAAACTTAGACTTAAAAACTTCACATACTTTGTTACCTGGAATCAAAGCACCAGGGGTGGATCTTGTGGTAGTTTCTTTTCTCCTGTTCCATTTAAGTAACCCCTGATGATTTATCTTAGACTGACAATAGTATAGGAAGGAGTATGACTATTTTCAGGTTCTCTAGGACTTGAACTCTGTATAAACAGGGGTGTTTTTCAGTCAGGACCTATGATGTGCTTCACATTCACCCCCGGAGCCACACTCTGCCCCTGCATGCCTGCCGTGTGTAGTGCAGAGCTGTGAGAGAGCTGCCTCCTCTACACAGTTCCCTGTTCTCATGCCTTCTTCCTTCAGTGTGTCTTGCTTTGTGCGTCACACTCTCTATTGGAGACCAGAGACCAGTTCCTCATGACATGTTGGGTGTTTGCAGTGGCTTCCGAATTGGCTTCCCTGACTTTTCCCCTTGAAGCTGTTTTGCATGTGGCCAACAGATTAATCTTCCAAAAATACTGTTTTGTTCATTTCCTTGCTTGAAAAGCCCCTTCATCAGCACTTTGTTTACTAGAGAACAGACCCAAACCTCCCGACTCTGAACTGGTAGCCTCACTCTTTACTATCTGGCTTATCTAATAAGAGTCCTTTCTTCTCGAACGCCAACTTTTCCTTTATGCCAGACTGGTTTTCTGATTGTGATTTTCAGTCTCTGACACTTTGCTCATGCAGTTTCCTTGCTCTTAAAGGCCGTTTTCCCTTCTGTCTGCTTCATTAAGTGCCTGGCCTGGCCTATAAGGCCCTGTGAGATCGAGCCTTCCTAATGGCCCCCATCTCACATTTCTCCCTTCCTTGTTTAATAGGTTTGGGCCACTCTGTTCCCTCAATTCCTCATATACTCCACACCTCCCACCCCAGGGCTTACACACCTACTGTTTCCTCTGAGTGAAACAGTTTTCCCCTCAATTAGGTTATTATTATTTTTTAAAATGCTCTTGACATTTTGACTGAGATAATTCTTTGTCCTTTGGGGTATCTTGTGCATTATCTGATTTTAGCTACTTCCCTCACCTTTACCCATTGAATACTAGTAGTACCCTACCTCCAGTCATGACAACCAGAAATGCCTCCGATATTGCCAGATGTCCCCTGGGGCAAAACTGCCCCCTGGTTGGGAAATACTGCCCTAGATCCTTCCAGCTAATTCCTTTTGGCCATTCAAGTTTAAGCTTAAATGTTGCTTTTTCACAGAAGTCTTCCTTGACCAATCTGTTTAAAATTTCCCTATACCCTCATTATCATTTAACCAAGCATCTTTTTTCCTCAGTTCTTCTGATCTCAAATGATTTTTGTTGATTCATTTGCCACTTCTCATGAGAATGTCATTCCCTACAAGAGCAGGGACTCTCTCGTAGGGAGAGAGTGAGTTTGTTTTGTTGGCTGCTCTGTCTCCTATTTCTTCGACAATGCTTGGCATATTGTGGAAACACAGTAAGTATTTGTTGAATGAGAGAATATGTCCTTTTCTTCTGTCAAGGTTGAATTTCCTCATTTCCCACTAGCCTTGGATGTTCTCTCTTCCAAACTACCCCAGCACTTACAGTCCCTGGCATGCTTATGGATATTTTTATGTTTATGTCCTGTTTGTCCAACTGGATTTTAGGCCCTTTTAAGGCAGGGACAGGACATTTGTTTAGTCATTGAATTCACAACTATATTTTAGTGGGGGCCACTGTGATGGATGCTGGGGATACAACAGTCAACAACATACAGTCTTTGCCCTCAAGGGACTTTCAGCCTAGTTAGGGAGGCAAAGAAATAGGCGGGCCGTATGATGAGTGTCATGAGAGGACTGCCCCAAGGGTTTGTGGAAACACCAGAAAGGGTTCCCAAGCCAGGGCACTGTCTTCTGTGTAAGTGGTGTCTGTGCCTAGACCGGAAGTCTGAGCTGTCTATCTAGTGAAGTGGGGGTTGTAGGTGGAGGGTAGGCAGGAAGAGCGTTCTAAACCATAGGAATAGCATATACAAAGGCTTAGAGGCAAGAGGAAGTTCTGTCTGTATCAGGAAAATAGTTCATTGTGCCTAGAACATAGAGCAGGAATGGAAGAGTGATCAAAGAGAAGGCTGGGGAGCTGGACAGGAAGCAGGAACCTATGTCATGTAGGACTTCATAAATCAGGCAATCGGGCTGAGTGTTAGGTCTTTATCTTTTTTTTTTCTAAACTCCTCTATCATTCCTAAAGGTCTTTATCATTTACCTCTTTACATTATTCATTTATCCATGCATATAATATATCTTAAAAAATAAGAAAACTAAGCCGGGCACGGTGGCTCACACCTGTAATCCTAGCACTTTGGGAGGCTAAGGTGGGTGGATCACCTGAGGCCAGGAGTTCAAGACCAGCCTGGCCAACATGGTGAAACCCCATCTTAAAAAAAATAATAATAAGAGGAAAAATAGCAAGTGATAGGAAAGTATAAGGATATGAGTTTTTTTTTACTGTAGTAAATACATACATAATAAAAATGGAACATTTTAGCCAATTTTAGTCAACAATGCATTAGCATTAAGTACATTCATAACGTACATCCATCACCACTATCCATTTCCAGAACATTTTCATCATGTCAGACAAAAACTGTATCCATTAACAGCAACTCCCCATTCCCTCCTCTTCCTAGCCCTGGGTAGTCTCTATTCTATTTTCTGTCTTAATGAACTTGTCTGTTCTAAGTACCTCATATAAGTGGAATCACACGACATTTGTCCTTTTGTGTCTGGCTTATTTCACTTACTATAATATTTCCAGTGTTGTAATATATACTGTAGTCCCTCCTTATTTGCAGGAAATATATTCTTAGACCCCCACTGGATGCCTGAAACTGTGAATAGTACCAAACCCGTATTTACTATGTTTTTACATATACATCCAAACCTATGGTAAAGGTTAATTTATAAGTTAGGCACAGTAAGAGATTAACAACAATAAGATAGAACAATTATAATATGCTGTAATAAAAACTCATGGTGGGAATGTGGTCTCTTGTGGTCTCTCTCTCTCAAAATACCTTACTTGTAGGTGCTCACCTATTTTCAGACCATAGTTGACTGTGGGTAAATGGAACCATGGATAAAGAATTTCATGCATTGTATCAGAATTTCATGACTTTTTAAAGCTGAATGATATTCTATTGTATGTGTATAATGCATTTTATTTAACATATTTTGAGCATCTACATAAAAGGTTCTTAATAAACTTTTATCGTTGGTGATATAACTGTCTCTAGCTGGAGGGAAGAGCAGGCTATGAATTCCATTTGATGGAACAAATAGTTGTGAAGTATCTGCAGTGTTCAATGTTGGTTTAGTTGCTGTTCCAGGAAAAACAAACAAACAAACAAAACTTAAGGATATGGTGAGACCCTGCATTCATTGGGTAAGCATTAAGCCCAAGGTTTTCTGTAGATAATAGAAGGGTTTCCTCATAGCACTAACTTTATCATTCCAATGAGCCTTTTGTGTTTCTGTTTTATGTGTGGAACTCATTTTTCAGGCCTCCGAGGGGTTTACCTGACAAAAGTTTGATCAACTGTGCTAATAGACTTCCCAAAGTAAGTCACAGGTTTTAAAAGGTACTTCCTCAACATTTTTTCTTTGCTAGTGGAAATAAACTATTTTGCTTTTATTTGAAATTATTCCTCAGAAGGACTATAATCTGAATAGTAATGTTGATAGTAACCATCTAATATTGGGCCTATATGCTAGACTCTGTGCTATCTACATGCCATGTTGTCTTCAGAAATCCTAGAAGCAAGTGGGATTGATTTGTATAGGTTTGGTGTAGGTGAGAATTTTCTGTCTCTGTCTTTCATAGAACATGTTCAGCTACTTATTAATTACTGTCATCTAATAATCAGGGAAACTGGAATGCTGGAATGTCAAACCTAAATAGGCCTTAAGGTCATCTAATCTGATGACTTGCAAACTTTTTAGCTATGATCTACAGTTAGAAAAAGATTTTACAACAAAAATATCATGGAGCAATCCTTACCCTAGCTATGAGTGATGTACTCTAATATTTTCTGTCCTATTCTGTTCTTTTCTATTTCATTTTTATTTATTTATTTTTTTTGAGACAGAGTTTCACTCTTGTTACCCAGGCTGGAGTGCAATGGTGCGATCTCGGCTCACTGCAACCTCTGCTTCCTGGGTTCAGGCAATTCTCCTGCCTCAGCCACCATGTCCAGCGAATTCTTTTTTGTATTTTTAGTAGAGATGGGGTTTCACCATGTTGACCAGGATGATCTTGATCTCTTGACCTCGTGATCCACCCACCTCAGCCTCCCAAGGTGCTGGGATTACAGGCTTGAGCCACCGTGCCTGGCCGCTATTTCATTTTTAAACAGTGTGGTCTGTGATTCACAGAATTTGATTTTATGTCCTAAGAATAAGTTGCAAATTGCAGTTTGAAGAACACTACTGTGGTCTATTTTATATATCCTACAGGAGAGGAAACTGAGATGGGAAGTGATTTGCCAAAGCACACAGCTAGTTGGGGGTAGAGCTAAATTAGAACTTTAGGAAGAAAAAATCCTACTTACCTACGGTAAAGAGAGATTTACTATTCTTTGCAGTCCTACTGGATGCCTTTTATTTTTTTCATGAGATTCTTCACTTTTCAGTATCATGTGAAGTGGAGAGTATAAGGAACTGAGATGGTAGATGGTTTTGAATGGATGAATTAACTAATCACTTTACTTCTTTGTCTTCTTTAGAACAAGAGGATTAGATTAAATAATAATTATTATTATTTTAAGAGACAGAGTCTTTGTCACCCAGGCTGGAGTGCAGTGGTATGATCATGGCTCACTATAGCTTCAAATGCCTGAATTCAAGCCATCTTCCTGCCTCAGACCCCTGAGTAGCTGGGACTATAGACACACACCATCACACTTGGCTAATTAAAAAAATTTTGTAGAAATAGGGTCTCACAGGCTGGGCGCAGTGGCTCACACCTGTAATCCCAGCACTTTGGGAAGCTGACGCGGGCGGATCATGAGGTCGGGAGATTGAGACCATCCTGACCAACATGTTGAAACCCTGTCTCTATTAAAATACAAAAAAAAAATTAGCCAGGTGTGGTGATGCACACCTGTAGTCCCAGCTACTTGGGAGGATGAGGCACAGGAATCGCTTGAACCCGGGAGGCAGAGGTTGCAGTGAGCTGAGATTGTGCCACTGCACTCCAGCCTGGTGACAGAGTGAGACTCTGTCTCAAAAAAAAAAAAAAAGAAAGAAACGGGGTCTCACTGTGTTGCCCAGGCTGGTCTCAAATGCCCAGCTCAAGCAGTCCTCTTCCCTGGTCTACCAAAGTGCATGAGCTGTCATGCCTGGCCTAGATTAAATTTTTTTAAGTTAATTATTTGAATAGATAATGTATGAACATTATATATATATATATATATCTCCTGACCTTGTGATCCACCTGCCTCAGCCTCCCAAAGTGCTGGGATTACAGGCATGAGCCACTGTGCCAGTCTGAACATGATTTTTAAATTCAAAAAGCATTAAAGGATTTATAACAAAAAGGAGTCTCTCGTATTACCTCCAAGTCAATCCATTCCTCTTCACAGGGACAACCTTATTTTTAGTAGTTTTTGTGTGCATGTATCTTCCCAGGAGTATGGACTAGGTGATTTACAAGGTTTCCTTGAGCACTAGTGTTCCAGGAACCTAAATACCTAAATGTGAGAAGAGTTAGCACTTTGACTTTTATAGAGATGCCTGTAATTGTAGTCAGAGTACAAGATAAAACACCGTGCTTCTGTTTCTGTCAGCTCTCTTCTTGCTCCCAGACTGCAGATTGTAATGTCTGCAGGATCTAAGTCTTTGGAGTGGAGTGGGCAGGATAAGTAACGTTCCTGTAGGTAAGCCCCAGGGCACCCTCATATGGGATCTAACTAGGAGTTGCTAAATGCTACCCCAATGGCACAGGGAAGCAGGGGAGATTATTTGCTTATTAATACTCATTCTTACAGCTACCTATACTGATATTTGATGGAGTAGTCTGGGTTTTTTTTTGGTGGGGGAGAATATTATAAAGGTGTCTTGGAGACGGAAAACTTAAAATCATCTTCTGTGCCACCAAACTCTTTGCTTAGCATATCCTTAATCTGATACAGGAGTCTAGCACCTGAAGCCATACATTGGCTTTATATCTTTCTCTTAGCTGCCAGTGTTGAATTTGAATGAGACGCAACTTCCCTGCCTTGAAAGAAATATGGTTGTACTGTGGATCCCAGAAGAAACAGAGATACATGTGAGGTGAGTGTCATATCTGGAACTCAGAGGCCTTTGATTCTGTAAATACCTGCTGTCTTCTGCAGGCCTCCTTTTTGTGATCTTCCTTTTAGCCAGCTCATTGCAAGTAGCGGGAGGCCAAGCCGAGAAGGTCATGGTCACTTGCATCTACTTTTTGCTATACTGGAATTTTAATGTAATGTGTTTTGAGATTCATGCTGTGGAACTTTGCCATATCAAATTTTACATGGCAGTAACTAGCATACAAGGTAAGGTCCAACTTATTTATCAGGCTTGACTAAGAAATAAATGCTCTCTCTTAATTTTTCTTATTAGTCACTTGGAACAAGTGAAAAAGTTCTCAGTGAAGCATGTGAATCTCTGATCTCAACCCTAGGGCCTAGTACACTATACAAAAGCAATAACATATAGGACTTATGTACAAAACGGTGCGTGACAAAGATCATTTGGTGAAGGCCCAAAGACTTGCTAATATTGACAAGCATGGGGATAGTGTTTGGTTTTTCTTTCCTGATCCTTGAGGCTGTTTTGGGCAGGACCAGGCAGAGTGGGGCACAGGCCTCTGATTCTTTAGTGACATTTAGAGATGATGAAACTTAAGAATTTCTTTTTATTTCATTTTTCTTTTTAAAAAATGATCCAGTGAATGCTTCTCTCTCACTATATATATACACACACATATATATGCATTTTTGTATGTGTATATATGGTATAAACAAATGAAAAACAACCCTGTGGGTTTATTTCCTTTGATGTGAAAGAAGTTCAGAGGTAGGCAGGCCCAGGGCATGTGAGCTCCATGAGATAGTTAGAAACCAGAGCTCCTTCTAGCTTTCTGGGCCATCATCCCTAGCCCATAGATTCTAACGTCTAAGGAATTTCATGGGTGCTTTTTTTTTTTTTGAGATGGGGTCTTGTGCTGTTGCTCAGGCTGGAGTGCAGTGGGTTCAAGTGATTCTCCTGCCTCAGCCTCCTAAGTAGCTGGTACTACAGGTGCATACCACCATGCCTGGCTAATTTTTTGTATTTTTTTTTTTTTAGTAGAGATGGGATTTCATCATGTTATCCACATTGGTCTCAATCTCCTGACCTTATGATCTGCCCGCCTTGGCCTCCCAAAGTGCTGGGATTACAGGCATGAGCCACTGCTCCCGACTTCATGGGTGCTTTTAATGTCTAAGTTGGATACTAGAACTCCAGCTATCCTATCCATCTCCCAGGCAAGGAGGAAGAGCACAGAGCAATAAAATACTTTTTTTTTTTGAGATGGAGTCTTGCTCTGTCGCCCAGGCTGGAGTGCAGTGGTGTGATCTTGGCTCACTGCAACCTCTGCCTCTCGGGTCCAAGCAATTCTCCTGCCTCAGCCTCCCAAGTAGCTGGGATTATAGACACACACCACCATGCCTTTTGTATTTTTTTAGTAGAGACGGGGTTTCACCATGTTGGCTAGGCTGGTCTCCAACTCCTGACCTTGTGATCTGCCTGCCTTGGCCTCCTAAAGTGATGGGATTACAGGCGTGAGCCACCATGCCCGGCCATAAAATACTTCTTACACAACCTCTCTGTCTCAAGCAGTGAGGAATTAGTGGAGAACCATATAGATTTGGTCCCTGTCCTGTTGAAGCCTTGTCAGGGAGAGTGAGACATTACAGACAAAACCACACCTACATAGATCATTTCTATTTTGGTTTCATGTTATGAAAGCAGATAACTGGATTGGCTGAGAGAATGATGGGAAACCTAATTTAGATAGGAGGTTGGGGGGTCCTTCTAGCAGGAGGTACTTGGGTAACAGGTTCTGCTGGGCTCCCAACCAGCTGTCTTTGAGTACTGATTAGAGCTAGGAATCTTTGTGGTCATCATTCACAACCTTGGAACTTCTGTTTAAGATCTGGGAATAGGTTGTGCTTATTCTTATTTCAAGTCCAGCTGAGAAGCATGTTTTGTTTTGTTTTCTCCAGCCAGTATGGGAAGAAGAAAAAGAACTTGGCAGTGGTGAGTTTGATGTTTTTGTGCAGACCTTTATGTCACTATGTAGACTTTATTTTGTTTTCCTTTCAGGTCTCTTCCACCTCACCCCCTTTCTTTCCCTAAATTATCAGAATCTGCTAAAGAAAACCCTTCTTTAGGAATAATTAACCAAACCATTCTCTATTCAGAGACTCCTCTTCCCTGTCTCCTCTCTGTGGGGAGATGAAGAGCATCTTGAGATAATAGGAGGAACTGTGGGGTATTCAGGGAGAATTTTTGGTCAATTAAAAACTAATCCCAATGGATGAAATAGAATTTCAATGGACTAGGAGTTATAAGACCTGGGCTTCTCATTCTAATTCTACCTTTTATGGGTAAATGTGACCTTGGATAAGTCACAGAGCTCTAAGACTACTATGTGCATGAGAGTAGTATCTTGGTTCATTTTGTTCATTGCTGAATCCCCATCCCTAGCCCTGTAACTGACACATAATTAGACAACAAATATTTTGTCCAGTTTGTTGAGTGAATAAATGAATGACTTTTCTGGAAAATGAAACAAAACAACTAATCCCTGTATGATCTGAATACAACAATAGAGTTGGGACCTTGAGAGAAAGCATGGCGGCCCTCATCATTCAGAGGAGGTGAGAATGGCTGGAGTGCATGCCAGGGTAGTGCTGGGAGGCTCGAGTGTTGATGGGAAGGAATAGGCTCAGAAAGAGGGCTTTGGAGAATTCTTTCCACTGTTTCTCTTCCAGAAAAGCAAGTCATTTCTGGGTCTTTCTGAAAATCAGTCCACAGAAACACGAATAGGAACTCCAGAGATGATCGTGCCTCCCCCAACCCCAGTGCAATTGTCTGAAAAATTCAGATCAGATTTCCTACCTCTCTGGGCCCAATCTGAAGCAATACCTCAGGATCTGCTGAAGGAGTAAGTATTATGTAGGTCTGTGGGAGAGCCAGAGCATCTATTTTTAACCGAAGCTGAGACGGGTCTAAAGAGTGTGTTCTTCCTGAGTAGGGCTGGGAGAAAACTATCACCCCAGTTGTTTACACAACTCTTAGCCTTACCAACAGGCAGGGATGACCATCATAACCACCACCATTTATTACACTTACCATTTGCCCACCTCTGTGCTAAGCACATCACATGTACTTTCATTTAAATTTCCACTAGGAGGTAGGCATTATCACTCTCTTCTTTTTATAGGTGAATTATGAATAAGTGGTAGGCAGACTATATAGTCTGCAGCGAAATTACCTTTGAGTTTTATGTTGAAACTTAACTGGCTATATGAATTTTGGTAATGCATTTAGCCTCTTAAAGCTTCATTTTCCTCATTTCAAAGTATGAATAATACCTGTTCTCAGGGTGTTGTGAGGATTCAGTATTATAAAGCACATGAGCCTGACATAGAATCAGCACTGAGTATGTGCAGCTATGATGATTTTAGTTGCATCAGAAAGGTGTTACCAAATGAGCACTTGTTGGTACAGGCCTTTTCAGACCCAGAGTAGAGATTTCTTGGAGCCCTTTACATCTCTTTCTCCTCAGCCATGCTTTCCAGGAAGAGCTGTTGCTGACTGGCTGTTTTCTGTCCCCTTCAGACTTTTCCCAGGTGGAAAGCAAACCATGCCCTGTAGGGAGATGAAGATACAGTTGGCCATGATGAGAAAGAATCTTTCCTTGAAAGTGAACCGACCTGACAGTGCAATTTCTTCTAAGATGTTTCTATCTATACATCGCCTCACCCTGGAAGTAAGAGCTAGGGAGCAACAGGGAAGAAGCCTACGTGAAAATTCAAACCCTTCTCTTGTCAAATCTAGAAGAGTAGACATTCTATTCCTTATCTCTCCTCTGCCTTTCCATGCTGAACCCAAGCCCCACAGAAGGCTGGGCTCTATGTAGGTGAAAGCCAATCGATGGGGAAGTGTTGAGAGAGTGATGTTCTCTATTTCTTTTCTTTTTTTCTTTTTTGAGAGACTGGGTCTCACTCTGTCATCCAGGCTGGAGTGCAGTGGTTATTATGGCTCACTGCAGCCTTGACCTTCTGAGATCAAGCCATCCTCTCATCTCAGACTCCAGAGTAGCTGGGACTACAGGCATGTGCCACTATGGCTGGCTAATTTTTAATTTTTTATAGAGACAGGGTTTCACTATGTTGCCTAGACTGGTTTTAAACTCCCGAGCTCAAGTGATCCGCCCACCTCAGCCTCCCAAAGTGCTGGGATTACAGGCATGAGCCAGCGTGCCTGGCCATGTTCTCTATTTCTTCTGCGCTTTGTTACCCACATCTTTTCCCTTCCTCCGTAGCCTCTGGTACAATGCTGCAAAACACTGGTGTTGACTGGATGATAAATGCATTTGGAGAAAGGGAAAGATCTGCAGTAGAGCTTTGCTTCTTTTTTCTTTCTCCAGAGACCAGCACTGCGATATCCTGAACATCTGAAGAAATTACATAACCTGAAGACAGAAGGTAAATTTGCTGTTGCTGCTGGATCTCTAAGCACAATTTTCTGTCAGCCCACATTTCTCATACTTTAACATGGTCCAATTCAGTTATATTTGTGGCCTTAGTCATGCAGAATGACATGTAGAAGTCAGGAAACAATAGTTTCAGGAAGCAGCCTGTCTGGATTGGTCCTTACCAGGGAGAGCCAGCATTGTGAAGGAGGGCACAGCAGGCATTCCAGTGGGAGAGCGGGGGCTATTAGCAAGAAGAGGATCAATCTGGCTCTCTGGTCACCAGGTTACAGGAAACAGCAGCAGTGGCAGCAGCAGCAGCAGCAACAGAGGAGGGTGAAAACACCTACTAATAAACAGGTAGAGTGGCAGTGAGGGGCTTGCTGGGACTGGGAGAAATAGCTCCAGCCTGCAGTGGAAGGGATGTATGAAAAGTGGGAGTCTCCTTGTTTTCTATCTGGTTATAGATATAAAGTTCTTGTCTGGTTGTAGATGTTAAGTTCCTTCTTTTTGATTCCTTTTGAAAAAAATTTCTTTACTTCCAAATATCCTAATTAATTCCTCTTGATGTGGGTTTCAGGAGGTGAAAGTGAAAGCCAAGGGTGATCCAGGGAGCCAAAGCACATCACATAAATATCCAGTTACCACTGTTCATGACAGTCTCTATGGTAAGGGTAATATATGCTTGGTTGGGGGTGATAGGATCCTTGAGGGGTAGGTGTCTGAGGGCAGGAAAAGCTAAGCATGCTCTTGTCATTTTGAGGCCTGCCTTTGTTAGGCACTCATAATTTCTTAGAATGCTTCAGTCTGTCTGGTCTGTCCTGCACCATGCTTCCCTCAGACATTTACTAAGCAAACAAACTGGGCCAGATGTATGCTTCACGTGGGGACTTGAAAGATGACCGTGAACATGAATCACAGTCATTTCTTCCTCAGGTTCTACCTAAGAAAAGGCAGAGCACTTTGAGGATCAGGAGAGGAGCAAGCCCAGGTTTTTGCAGAGAAAACCCTGAGGGCCCGTTGTCCAATGAGGCAGAGAGAGCTTGGGCCCCTCGATAGAACCCCAAAAGAGTTCTAAGGAAGCAGAGCTCCAGGCCCCTCTAACCTCCCTGCCACAAGGTAGAGTCTCTGGAGCCTCACGTTAAAATCAGCACATTGTCTAGCCCCATCCAGGAGGCAGGGAGCCAATTCTTGTCAGGCACGTCTTTTGCTCCAGTGCACATGCTGGATACGAGAATGGATATCTCCCCATTTTGGAGTTCTTATCATGTCTGAGCTCAGGGATATACTTACCCCTATCTGACATTTTTGAATTTGATTGCAGACTGGGAGGAGGGAGAAAGAATCCCCCCAAACCTTGGAGGGTCATTGTGCTCTTCTCAGACTGGACATTGCTGACTTTAATAAGAAAACAACTGTTTAATCATCAGAAAGAACTCTTCATCCTGGGGCATTGGGAGGGCTGAGACTGTTTCCTGAGAAGGATGTTTCCCTCTTGCTTTCCTTCCCATCTCACTGATTGCCTGATGCCAGTGATGTCCTTTAACCTGAAGTTCTAAGAAGGTCCCTGACCTTCTCATGGGAGGTAGACAGAATCAGGGCTTGGCCCCGGGCAGGAAGTGATGTATCCACGGTTAGCACTCCATCTAAGGTGACTGCTGCCACTCCTCTGAATTCCATTCTGGTGCCTTTTGTACCCCTTCCCAATGCCTCCAATAGGAGCAGTTTTGTTTGGGTGACTGGGGTGCCCACTGAGTCATTTTCTTAGAGTGGTGGCCTGTCCTCACTGAGTTGAGAAAGGCTTTACGGAAGAGATGATTTTTACATTGGTTCTTGAATATGTGTAGGAGTTTTCCTGATGTGGAAATAACTCTTGAAAGGGAATAGCCTGTGCAAAGGCATATAGGAGGATCATAACTGCTCAGGAAACACTGAGCAGTCGAGTGTGGTTGTGGGATTGGGATTTGAGGAAGAGTGGTCTATCATGCCACAGAGGTAGGCAGGTTTGTATGGACTGCTAAGTCATTTGACCTTTATCATCCAGCCAGTGGTGCTCCGCCTTGATTGTACACTAAGAGCAATTGAGAAGCCTTTATTATTTATTTATTTATTTTATTTTTATTTATTTAGTTTTTTGAGACAGAGTTTCACTCTTGTTGCTCAGGCTGGAGTGCCATGACGTGATCTCTGCTCACTGCAACCTCTGCCTCCTGGGTTCAAGTGATTCTCCTGCCTCAGCCTCCTGAGTAGCTGGGATTACAGGCATGCACCACCACGCCTAGACAATTTTTTATATTTTTAGTAGAGACGGAGTTTTTCCATGTTGGCCAGGTTGGTCTCGAACTCCCGACTTCAGGTGATCTGCCCTCCTTGGCCTCCCAAAGTGCTGGGATTACAGGTGTGAGCCCCTGTGCCTGGCCAACAAGCTTTTCTTTTTTTTTTTTTTCCCCCACATGATCTTACAAGCTTTTAAAATTCTAATACTCAGGCTGTATCCCAGCTATTAAATTAGAATTTGTGGTGGTAGAAACTAGGCCTCAGTATTTTTTTTTTTTTAAGCTCCTCAGTTCTCCTAGTGTGCAGCTAAGGTAGAGAACCAGTGCTGGTAGGGAGTCGATGGAAATGCTGTATTTTAGCATAATGCCTCTGGTGGTAGCTTGGAAGACGTTTGTTTAGGGAAAGGGAGATTGAGAAAAGAAGGAATGAATGTACTTAGGGACTAGCTAGGGAAGCAGCTGATGCAAAAGAAACATGAAACTAGAGGTTTCTGTTTTGCGTTGTTTGTGGGTACATGAGGGATGGCGCAAGAAGATGAGTCACATTCTGGTAAGAGGAGTATTTTTATGCTGTGAGAAGGTAGAGTTAGGGTTTCTTGGAGGAATCCTGGGACTTTTCACACACTGTACCATAATCTCTAATTCTGTAATAGATAAAGGTACAGTCCCAAGTGAGCAGAATCTCAAATAGAACTCAGAAGTTCTAGCTACCTTTTACCTGCCACCAAGATCTTATCTTTCCTGGATGTGGAGTCACTTATAGACTAAGGGTCACCTAGAAGCCCCAAAATAGGGTATGATGGGCCAATACAAGATTGAGTTGACTTTTTAGTTATTAGATTACAGAACTCTGCCAGGTCGGAACAGTGACATGAAGCCTCTTCTAGGACCCAGTTTCAGTTATCTGTTACTCCAAAGCATAACCATAGTAATTTGTTATTTCTAATGATTCTGTGGGTTGACTGGACAGTTATTCTCTTCTTGCTTGAGGTCACGTAATGCAGCTGGGCTGAGACTGTTGCCCGAGTTGCTGGTTTTCCTTCCTGAGGCCTCTGCATGTGGCTTGTTTGGGCTTTTTGGCAGCATAGCAGTCTCATGAAAGCAGTTTCTTAAGGGATGGGCCTGGAATTAAAACAGTGTTACTTCTGCCACATTTTATTGGCTGAAGAAGTCACAAGTCCATCCCGGAGAGTAAATAAGAGAAGAAATAGGCCTTGTCTCTTGATGGGAGGAACAGCATGTACACACTGGAATGGGAGGAATTGTTGGAAGCCATCCTTGGAGGCCATCTGTCCTTAGTTGACTGTAGGGAATGGGAAGGAGTGGTTCTAGCTTCATTTGGACGGCACGGAGAGCAAAGAATGTGTGATACCAGCTTCTTTTCAGTCCAAAGAGGTGGGTCTCTGGCTCATCTTAGATGTTAATTTCTCCAAGGAAGGCATATTTTAGAAAAATCCTTTTAGTTCCCTAAAGTCTTGATTCAAATTTCCTTCCATTTTTCCCTGATGAATTTCAGGATTCTACAGAGAGACCAAAGATGGACTATTATGACCATGTGGATCTCTACCACAGTGTGAAAAGTAAGATACTAGAGTAGAGGAGCCTTAGTAAGTGATTGAGGCTGGGGAGAACTGAACCTGTATTGACCAGGATGGTTTACCTCCCTGAAGGCACAGTCCTCCTGTCTTAGAGAGATCCTAAAAAACACCCCAGTTTTTCCTTTTCTGTCCTCCATTTGTCATAGTTATTTGAGAGAAGTTTACAGGTGTAATTAATGACTGCATCTTCTTTTAGGTCCTGAATTGTATGAAACAGAACCGACTAACAAGGACATTAGTGCTCTGGTGGAAGCTGTGCCAGAAGCTCAGGCTGTCAGCCAAAAGAAAGTCTCCTTGAGCTTTTCAGAAAGTATGGCTAGAACAAGCTGGAACCCTGAGCTCAAACTACTGAGGATTCTTCAGGACACTGATGATGAGGATGAGGAGAGCCAATCCTCTGAGACAGAGTGAGAAGCCTCTGGAGAAGTAGACTGAAGGCATCCCCCAGGGCAGCTGTGTTCCAGAGTGGGATGGCTGGTATCCTGAGGACAGCAGCGTTTCACATAAGGGCAAGAGGAGAGAGGACTTCTGCTCTCTGGAGTCTTTACCATGGCTTGAGCTCTGAGCTTAGGGATTCAGTTTTCTTTGTTCACCTCTACTTGCCTCTAAAATAAATGTAGGAGAAAAAGCCTTTTACATTTAGATTATTTCTCTTCCATTAGGGTCAGGATAATTTTGGTGATTAAACACAACTGCTTCTCAATCAAAAGACTCATTTTCTCTTTCTAGGAGGAAGGAAAAGATGTTTCTTGGTATCTGTTTTCTGGGTCACTTATCTCATCTCTGAAGCTCTGAAAGGTTTCCAGTGGTAGGAGGCTGAATTTGGCTCATGGGAGCTGCCATGGTGCTCGCTAGATTTTTCTCTCATTCCCTAGAAATGGTTTCTTTTGGAGATTGGATCTACATTGTTATCAAATAATGTTCATTGTGTCATTGATCTTGAGCTCCTAGGCTCAAGCAGTCCTCCCTCAGCCTCCCAAAGTGCTGGGATTACAGGCATGAGCCACTGCACGCAGCCAAAAAGCTCTAGTTTCTGAGGAACTGAGACTGCAAGAAAGTTTCAGCAATGCTCATAAAGACACAGAATTTCAAAGTCTCAGGGAACCTCTAACTTGGTTTTGGAGAGATTTTTTTTTTTTTTTCAGTTTTAGTCCTTAAAAAGATTTAATATAGTAAAGATTTCAAAATTATGTAAAAGGAAAAAGAATAATATAATGAAACTGATATATTCAGTATCTTAGATCTGGGCAAGGAAGGCCCTTGCCTTGACCCCATGCTTTAGAAAGTCCTCTGGTCTTCTGGCTGTGCTGCCCCTCATGGCAGAGAAATCTGCAGAGCCAAATGGATGTACACCTAGCTGGAATCTGTGACTCCCCTTGAGACTTTGTTCCTGGTATTTGGTTCCCTGGAATTTTCTGCCAAGTGGCCTCTTGCCTATTTCCATGGCTTGTGCAGGCATCTTTCATGGGTCCATCCTCCCAAGTGTGGACTATCCCACCAGTGTGTGCACTGCTGGGTTCAAGTGGAGTAAGAGGAGGGTATATGGAGAGGGATGTGCCCACAGCTTAGACATATAGGTTGGGGCATCTGCATTTGTGGCCTTTCCCAGTAAGCCTGGGATCTGGGGATGAGAAATGAGGGCTGGTTCTTCTAGTACTGCATGTTTGTGTGGAATCTCAAGGAATCTGTGGATTTTGAATGAACTTGGCTTTCTAGATCATGAAGATATACTGGTCAAGGTAGGAGGATAGAACATGTTTTATTTAACAATCTGTTAGCTTGATTTATAGTTTTTAAATGTTCAGACATGGTTAGTAGAGCTGTTTTTGTACACTTTTCCTGAGTCCTGAGAAACATTAGGACTGAACATAGCCATCATTTGGGACAAATTTTAAGGAGGAAGAATTTAGCCCCACAACACAGAGATCATTTATTTGCAGCCCCGTTTTAAAAGTAAGGATAGTGAAGCTCAGAGAGGGGATTTGTCTTGACTAAGATCATGAACTTGGAAGTGGAGCTGAGCTGGAATCTGGGTCTCCTAGTGCTAGGTCAGAGCTCTTTTCATTATTCCACTCTGCTGTTCTTTCACTTCATTCTCCAGAAACAGTGTAGGTTATTCGTCATCATATTTAACCAGAGTCTGACTTCCTCTCCTTCCTGGAGTACTGTCTGTCTTCCTCTATAATTGATTAATGTGGGTCCCAAGGATGCTGGCTCCATTTTTATTTTAATCAGGAAAATTGGAAACATACAAAAGTTAATGAGCTCCCATTTGTCCATTATGTAAGAATTATCAATTTATGACCAATCTTGTTTCATATACATATACCCCCATTCTGAACAGGGTTATTTGAAGCAAAGGTCATTTTATCCATAAATATTTCAGCATATACCTCTTAAAAGAAAAGTGTTAAAAATAACTACAAAAATTAATCATAGTTGTTTAATATCATCAAATATCCAGGCAAATTCAAATTTCCCTCTATTATTAATTAATTTCTTTTCACAGTTGACTCCTTCAAACTAGAATCCAAATAAGGCCCATAAATTGAATTTGGTTGATATGCTCAAAAAATTTTTTTTTCTCACCGTTACCTAGGTTGGGGTGCAGTGGCATGATCACGGCTCACTGAAGCCTCGACCTCCAGGGCTAAGGTGATCCTCTTACCTTAGCTCCTCAAATTGTTGGGACCACAGCCATGTGCCACCACGCATGGCTAATTATTTTTTATTATTATTTGTAGAGATGGGGTCTTGCTACGTTGCCCAGGCTAGTCTTGAACTCCTGGGCTCCGATGATCCTCTCATCTTGGTCTCCCAAAGCGCTGCGATTACAGGTGGGAGCCACTTGATTCCAAAGGTCCTTCAATCTATAGAGATCAAGTGGCTCCCACCTGTAATCTTAGCGCTTTCCCTTTTCCTTTTTCTCTTTTTTCCTGTAATCCCACTTTCCCCTTTTTCCTTTTTTTTTCCTTGCAATTTATTTGCTGAAGAAACTGGGTTGTTTGGCCTGTAGATTCCTATAGTCTTGATTTTGCCAGTTGTATCCCCAATGGTGTTGTTTCTTCAATCTCTTTATTTCCTGCAGACTTAGATCTAGAGGCTTGGGCTGCTTCATGGTTTTTTGTTTTGTTTTGTTTTGTTTGCAAGAAAATGTCATAGATAGCATTATGTGCTTTCATCGGGGGCCCGTAATGGCTGGGTGTCTCTTCTCTGGTTTTAGTGGCCGATAACGATCTTTGCCTCATTTTTGTATATTGATTGTGTATCCTGCAACCTTACTTACCTTGTTATTTAGTTTTGATAGTTTAGTGGATTTCTTATTATTTTCTTTTTCTTTTTTGGAGTGTGTCACCTTTATTGATAGAGTTGTTGGGGAGGGAGAGGAAATATTTCTTTTCTCACTTATTGCTGGGTTCATGACAGAGACATGTATAGCAAAGGACAGGTTAGCAAGAGAAAAGCATATAAATTTATTTAATACAAGTTTTACATGACATGGGAGCCTTCCTTCCTATGAAGTGAAGACAAAGAAATGGGAAACCAGGGTAATTTTATGCTAAGTTTGATGAAGAGTAGACAGTTGTGGAGAAATAAGACTGGAGTACCAAAGAATATGATCTGATGGTAATAACGGTGGGGAACTTAGCAAGGCCTGTTTGTGCAGATTCTTCTTTTTGTCCCTTGTGTTTTCAGAGCCAAGGATACTCCTTTCCTCTAGGTATAGGGAAGGTCCCTCTCAAAATGAAAATCTTGTTTTGGGGAGAAGAGGGAATGATGAGAGTGACTTTCCTGCTTCTGCTGTGTTTTCAAATGCCAAGGTGCCATATTTTGGGGTTGCATGTCCTGAACCTCGCCATTGTCCTCTTCTAAGCTCATCTATAATATATCAAGGTGACTTCAAGACAGTCACATAGTCCTGAGGCTTACCCTTAGTGAGTGAAATGTGGTTTTCTAATGTGATGCTCCCGCAGGCAAAGCGGAGAAATATCCTTCTGACATGCAACTCAGTTCATTTTTGGCTTATTATTCCTTGCATCCAGCAGGAACTAAGAGTGCACCTGCCCACTTGCTAGTTTATTATACTACAAAGGATACAGATGAAGAGATGTGTAGATCCAGGTATGGGGAAGAGGCTTCCATGCTTTCCCTGGGTGTACCACCCTCCAGGAATCTCCATGTGTTAAGCTATCTGGAAGCTCTTCTTAGGATGTTCAGTATACAAGATTACATCATCTATAAATCGAGATGTTTTTGTGTCTTTTAATTGTCATAGTTCTGATTTCTTTTTCTTGCTTAACTGTCCTCACTAGAACCTCTAGTACAATGTTAAATAGAAATGATGAGTAGACATCCTTGTTTTATTTTTGATCTTAGGGCAGAGCATTCAGTCTTTAACCATTAAGTATGATGTTCACTTTGAGTTTTTTATAGAAGCCCATAATTATATTGAGTTCTCCCCTCCCTTCCCCTTCCCTCCCCTCCCCTCCCCTCCCCTGCCCTCCCCTCCCCTCCCCTTTCTTTTTTGACAGACTATGTTGCCCAAGCTGGAGTGCAATGGTGTGGTCTCTGCTTACTGCAACCTCTGCCTCCTGGGTTCAAGTGATTCTCCTGCCTCAGCCTCCCAAGTAGCACCTCCAAGATTACAGGTGCCTGCCATCATGCCTGGCTAATTTTTGTATTTTCAGTAGAGACTGGGTTTCCCCATGTTGGCCAAGCTTGTCTTGAACTCCTTAAGTGATCCGCCTGCCTCGGCTTCCCAAAGTGTTGGGATTACAGGCGTGAGCTACCATGCCTGGCCTTGTATTAATTCTTTAAATGTTAGGTAGGAGCTATCAGAAAGGCAATCTGGGGCTGAGCTTTTCTTTGTGGGTAGTTTTTTGAGTGCTAATTCAATCTCTATTGTTATAAGCATATTCAGATTGCCTATTCTTTTTTTTTTTTTGAGACAAGGTCTCATTCTGTCACCCAGGTTGGAGTTCTGTGGCATGATCCTGGCTCACTGCAACTTTTGCCTCCCAGGCTAAAGGGATCCACCTCAGCCTCTTGAGTAGCTGGGACTACAGGCATGAGCCACCATGCCTGGCTAATTTTTTGTATTTTTGTTAGAGACAGGGTTTCATGATGCCCAGGCTGGTCTTGAACTCCTGAATTCAGGTGATCCACCTGCCTCAGCCTCCCAAAGTGCTGGGATTATAGACATAAGCCATTGTATCTGGCTATTTCCTCTTGAATCAGTTTCCGTAGTTTGTGATTCTAGGAATTTGTCCATTTCATCTAATTGTCAAGTTTATTAGCATGTATTTACTTGTAGTATTCCTTTTTTTTCAGATGGAGTTTCATTGTTGCCCAGGCTGGAGTGCAACAGTATGATCTTGGCTCGCTGCAACCTCCACCTCCTAGGTTCACATGATTCTCCTGCCTCAGCCTCCCAGGTAGCTGAGATTACAGGCATGTCCCACCACACCTGGCTAATTTTTGTATTTTTAATAGAGAATGGGTTTCATCATGTTGGCCAAATTGTTGTTTAGTAGTATGTTGGCCTCGAACTGCTGACCTCAAGTGATCCACCAGCTTTGGCCTCGCAAAGTGCTGGGATTACGGCGCCCAGCCTACTTGTAGTATTTC